AAAAGTATTGTACACTTGAATGTTCTTTTAAAAAGTATTGTACACTTGAATGTTCTTTTAAAAAGTATTGTACACTTGAATGTTCTTTTAAAAAGTATTGTACACTTGAATGTTCTTTTAAAAAGTATTGTACACTTGAATGTTCTTTTAAAAAGTATTGTACACTTGAATGTTCTTTTCACTGTACATTACATGCTTATTTTTTGTTCGTTATCCAGTGATAGTATTAATAATTTGTTATTTTCTCCAATTACAGGAGGACAGCCTCGCCCTGGGTCCTTCAGTGGTTCAGAAACAGAGGTCAACATCATGGAGAACCTCCTCTCCGACATTCGTTCTGGTTTCACACAGAGGAAATATGCAGAGATGGCTCTTAATAAGGTGGGAGAGGCATTTCATGAAATTCTACAATGTAATTTTTATTTCTCACAAAATCAAAATAGCACGACTGCAAACAAGCCATGGAACAGGTTGCATTTGAACTCACGGCAGGTGAATCTTAAAATTCACATGCCAGTGCGTTAACCACTGGCCTGTAAATTTTAGAACTCACTTGTCATAGGTTCAAGCCCCAACTGTTTCATGGTTAATTTTCATTTTCTGAATACATGTATAGATAACTAGAGCTGTGATATTCATGGATGTTCAGCCACTGTTTTAATAAGGTGCTCCTCGGCCTATGATGAGGTTACATTTCCACGAGCCCATCGTGAATTGAAATTATCATAAGTTGAATATATTCTTAGTTGAACATGTGATAAATAAGTAAATAAATAACTACTGTCGTTGATTAAGTATATACACTAATTGCTGTAACTAAATACCAGTACTAAAAAGTAAATAAATGAATATGTATAAGTTTATCCTATCAATAAATGTACATTACAAAAAAAAATTTTTTTTTGCATCATAAAACTGAAATATCGCAAGTTGAACCATTATATGGTGAAAATCATTTGAACACAGGGTGTGACCGGCCCCAGGCCTATGTAAAAAAAAATGTGGGGTACATATGAGCAGATAATGGGATAATATACACATGCATGCACAGGGACGTGTATGTACAGTGGACCCCCGCATACCGTTGGCATCACATAACGATTAATCTGCATACCGCTTGCTTTAATCGCAAAAATTTTGCCTCGCATACCGCTTAAAAACCCGCTCACCGCTGTTCGTCCAAGACGCGTCCAATGTGCGCCTTAGCCAGCCTCACATGTTCCGCCGGTGGCATTGTTTACCAGCCAGCCTCCACGGTAGCATCCAAGCATACAATCATAACATTTCGTATTATTACAGTGTTTTTGGTGATTTTATCTGGAAAATAAGTGACCATGGGCCCCAAGAAAGCTTCTAGTGCCAACCCGACAGCAATAAGGGTGAGAATTACTATAGAGATGAAGAAAAAGATCATTGATAAGTATGAAAGTGGAGTGCGTGTCTCCGAGCTGGCCAGGTTGTATAATAAACCCCAATCAACCATCCCTACTATTGGTGGTACAGCTGCTGCTGCTGCTGCACTGTCAGCTGCTGCTGCTGCTGTAGCATCGTCTGCTGCTGCTGTAGCATTGTCTGCTGCTGCTGCTGCTGCTGCTGCTGCTGTAGCATCGTCTGCTGCTGCTGTAGCATCATCTGCTGCTGCTGTAGCATCGTCTGCTGCTGCTGAAGCATCGTCTGCTGCTGCTGCTGCTGTAGCATCGTCTGCTGCTGCTGTAGCATCGTCTGCTGCTGCTGTAGCATCGTCTGCTGCTGCTGTAGCATCGTCTGCTGCTGCTGTAGCACTGTTGTTGGTGTGGCTTATTGAGAATATACCAAGAAACAATTAACCCCAGAGGATTTGCCACCCAGGATAACCCAAAAAAGTCAGTGTCATCGAAGACTGTCTAACTTATTTCCATTGGGGTCCTTAATCTTGTCTCCCAGGATGCAACCCACACCAGTCGACTAACACCCAGGTGAACAGGGAAAAATGCCTGGAACTAGTGCTCATATTGGTGAATTTAAAGCCAGCAAAGGTTGGTTTGAGAGATTTAAGAATTGTAGTGACATACACAGTGTGATAAGGCCTGTTCTGGAAGAAAATGCCAAACAGGACCTACAGTACTCAGGAGGAAAAGGCACTCCCAGGACACAGTGTCTCATCAGTCATTGCTGCATCTTCAATAAAGGTAAGTGTCATTTATTCTTCATTTAGTAGAGTAGTACATGCACAATATATATTGTGCATGTACTACTCTACTATTGTGCATGTATCCTTCTCTTTGTGTGTAGGAAAATGTATATTTCACGTGGTAAAAATTTTTTTTTCACACTTTTGGGTGTCTTGCACGGATTAATTTGATTTCCATTATTTCTTATGGGGAAAATTCATTTGCATACCGATTATTTCGCATACCAATGAGCCCTCTTGCACGGATTAAAATCGGTATGCGGGGGTCCACTGTATTGACTTTTTATCACACAAAACTATGTTCGAACGTGACTCATGAAATCGTAATGACACGATTGCAAACAAACCATACCACGGGCGGGATTTGAACCCGCGGTCAGAGAGTCTCAAATCCCGCCCGTGGTATGGTTTATGTTCTAACCACATCCTCTAGAGCAGTAACTGCACTCTGATGGGATGGGGGGGATGTTGCAGTCACAGGGTGATCCAAATTGGCATGTCAGCACACTTCTGGCAATACAGCGATTGAATGAATGATGGTGAACGAGTTTTTTTCTTTGGGTCATACTGCCTTGGCAGGAAGTCACTGAGGTAAATTTGGAATGAGTAAAGCATCTCCTTGGAAGCTCCATACCCTGTTTGCTGGTAGGGAAGCTTGTGGTGAATCAACAGCTCCTGGTTTTGCTGTGTATTTATGCTAGTGAGGCAGTGTTACCAAAGATGCACTGCTTGGACCTGTCTGGTCTTAGATTTTTCAAAGACATGATGAGGATGTAGGAAACCCAGTCAGTTGTGCTGAGGTCAAATATATTAGCAGGTGGTATATTTAAAGGCATGAAATATTGTGCATACTAGTATGTCAGACACATCCTTTGTCACCTGCGTACTGGCAAAAAATATTGTCAGGAAGTATATTTGAAAGGACAAAATGTGCATACTAGTATGTCAGACATAGCCCTGTTGCCTGTGTACTGGTATGTTGGACACAATTAAGGAGTTAAATCACTGGGACCCTGAGCAAGGCTAGGGTAAACTTTTGGGGGTGGGTTTACCTGGAGAGGGTTTCGGGGGTAAGCACCCGCACGGCCTGGTGGGTTGTATTGAAGAACAAAACAAAAAGGTAAATATCGTGGGTAGAACAATTCTCAAATAACTTGCATATAAGAAAAGAACATTCATGAAGGGATTCAGGGAAACCGGCAGGTCGGACTTGATTCCTGGTGATGAGAAGTGCAGTGACGGCACTGTTAATATTGCAGTTTTATAACTAGTGTAAGCGCGCCTCTGGCAAGACAGTGAGTGATGATGAAAGTTCTTTTTCTGGTCACCGTGCCTTGGTAGGAAACGGCTGATGTGCTAATAGAATAGATAGAAGAAAGGAATGTTATAGCGAGTTTTTAGTCCCTTTTGGACAATTGTCAAGTTGTCCAGGAGTGGATTTTATCTTTTGTGGCTCATCACAAACAAAATATATTTCTGTACTTGAGTTTTGTTTATTAACTTTACACAAATAACCCACACATAGAAGAGAGAAGCTTATGTTGATGTTTTGGTCTGACTTGGACCTTAACTAGTCACATTAACACACAAAGGTTCAGGTAAAGGAAGGTTTGCCAGGACGGTTCCTGGCAGAGGCATTCTCCATGTGGTGACCTGGCAGTGGCTTCCGAAGGAGTGTCAGAGAGTGTACGGGTGATGTACCATTTACAGCCCTGTGGCAGGGACACAGTGAGCATGCATGTCAAGTGGAGCACCATTTACAGCCCTATGGCAGGGGCAGCCCTACGACAAGGGTACGATGAGTCTTATTCAGCACAAGTGGTTTAGCAGTTAGCTACAATCATGGTAGACACCCTGCAGCTGGGGTACAGCATGTCTTGGGTTCAAGTAATGTCAGGGTCAGTGTTCTCGCTGGTATGAGGATTTCAACTCTCAAAGGTGAGGGAGCCAGTATATATAGGAGAGGGGAACTTATGGGAAAAAGAGAGGAAGAAAGAAGTAAAGAAGCAGTTTTAAAGGTAATGCCGGTAGTGGGAGTAGTAGTAGTAGTAGTAGTAGTGATAGTAGTAGTAGTAGTAGTGGTAGTAGTAAGGGGAGCAGTGGTAGACATTACCTCTACCACTACTTCTCCACTTCTTACTTTCTTCCTCTCCTTTTCCCATCCCTGTCCCTCTCTCCTGTATACACCGGCTCCCTCACCTTCGTGTGTTAGTGTGACTTGTGAATTGTCCAAGTTGGACCAAAATGTTGTTGTAAGTTTTTCTCTCCAGTGTCTGGGTTATTTGTGTATTATTCCAGTCACAGTATTGTGCCCCTTTGTTCTTACTGCATTACATTCGTCGCGAAGCCTGGTCATGGGCCGGGCCTCGGGGACATTGACTCCCCGAACACCCTCCAGGTTGTCTCTCTTTTAAACATAGTTAAACTCAGTTTAGTCTCAAAATTCCTTTCCGATAATCATTTAATATCAGTGGCAGACGGTTTTTCTGTTTCATTTTCTTATTAGATATAATTTGCAGCTTTCGCTTATGTAAGAGTCTTTCGGTATTAACCCTTTGAGGGTCGACAGGCCCTCTCCGAGACTCGTTCTCAGGGTTGGCCAAATTTAAAAAAAAAAAATAATTTTTTCTTGTGAAAAGATAGAGAATCTTTTCCCGATCATAATGGCACCAAAAATATGAAATTTGATGGAAAACTTACGGAATTATGCTCTCGCGAAGTTAGCGGTCTCGGCGATGTTTACGGATCGGCGATTTTGCCCACTTTGAGCCCCATTTTCGGCCAGTTTCACTGTACTAATCGACAAAAAACATGAATATTTCGCTAGAACTCCATTTTTTCTATTGAATGAGTGCAAGAAACCACCCATTTACCAATTTCAACTATCCAGTACAATGGTCAGAATTTAGCAATTTTGCCAATTTCACACAAATTTCAAAAGATGCCAATTTCCGAATAGCGTCCAGAACAAACAAGAAATACATTCCTGGCACTAAAATGACATTTCCTCTGTTCATTAGTCACGTCTCAAGGCCCCTCTTATATTCTTTTGCTTTCCACTTTGAATTTTTATTCTCACAAAAAATATAAGATTTACTGTTATGCAGACTACTGCATTAGTGTAAAAAATGGTATAAATATTATTGGTGCACTTGTGAAAGAATATTAGACTCACCAGTTGACGTGTATTGCACGCTTGGCACGATTTGATTACTTTTGAAATTTGGTAAAAATCGAACATTTCTGCTATTTTGAGCTCAATTTCAAGGTACTTTTCATTGTAAAACCAGTCAAAATCATCTCAATTTCTATGATATGCCTTCCATTCTATAAAATGAGACCAAGAAAACTAGAATACAACAATAAATACCATACGAAAAAACAGTGCAAAGTCGCTGTTTTATTCCAAAAAAACGGTCAAAGTTTTTTTTTTCTCATTATGCACTGTGTGCTGCAGGATTTTTTTATACTGTGCACACTGACCACATAGACCCATTCTTTCATATGGAGGCCTACCAGCTTTCTCCCACTAGATTTGAGGGCGCTAGAATTTAGGCGTACTAGTATTTATTTATTTATTTATTTATTTATTTATTTATTTATAATTTGAGCACACTTACAGAGGTACAAAAAAAAATACAGATAAGAGCAGCATGCCAAAGCCACTTATACTATGCATAGCATTACGGGCTGGCTTAAAATTAACTTAAGATTAACTAAGCAATGATGAAATCAGTGAAAAACATTAATGTAAACTGATTACTATAAAGCACAAGTGAGTATTACAAAGACAGGTCATATGGTTGCATGCATTGTTGTAAATTCAGTAGAATGGAGTATTCTGTTAGGTAGTGAATTTAAAAAATAATAAAGTTAGATTGGGTTTTAGGTTTAACATTTATGTGATATAATTGTGAGAAACATTTAAGATATACAATTTATAAGGTTCAGTTATTCAGTATTTATTTGGTTTTGGTGAGTAAGTGATCTTTGAGAAGAGACTTGAATTTATAAACAGGTAGTGTTTCTTTTATATTTACAGGTAATGAATTCCAGATTTTAGGGCCTTTTATGTGCATTGAGTTTTTGCATAGCGTGAGATGGACACGAGGAATATCAAAGAGTGATCTGTGCCTTGTGTTATGGTCATGTGTTCTGTTGAGGTTGGCAAGGAGATGTTTGAGGGGAGGGTTAATATCAGAGTTGAGTGTTCTATGTATGTAATAGGTGCAGTAATAAGTATGGATGTTTTGTATGTCAAAAACCCTGGTGCGTAAGCCGTACTAGTACGGCCGAAACCCTCAAAGGGTTAATAACTTAATGTATTTTTTAACTGACATTGATCATTTCACTTTGGTATGATAGTATTTATTTGTATTTATGTTTGCTGCTCAGATTATTTGTTAATTGTATCCTTGCTTTTTATTGTGTATGTCAGTAAGCTCTCTTATACAGCTCTTGTATTTAGTGAAGAATTTTGTAAATGCAATCAAAGTGCATTTATAAATGCAGTCAAATAAAGTGCATTGTAAATTCTATAGTGCATACTAAGAGGGCCTTTTCATGTGCTATGTAATATTTTATGTTTTTTTTCAATTGTATTTACTAAAATTGTGCTTAATAGGTATGAGTGGGTGCAGTAATGTTCCTTCTTAAGTTGTTGTGACTTGAACCTGCCTATTATGGGCCATTAGGCCTGCTATAATTCTTCTTATGTTCTTATATACTGTATATATATACTTTTTTTTTATTCCTAAATCTTAGAATGCAATATCTATAATAAAAGCTTCCAATAATCTTTTTTTTTTCTTCAGAGTAAGAAAGGGAAGAAGCTGGAATCTTGGCAAAATGGTGGAATGACATCAGAAGATGAGACATCCCTCTGCAACTCTCCTCGGATGACCCGTCGTCGTATGGGGTCGTTCTCAGGGCCCACTGGACCTCAGGGTGACAACCAAAATAATGACAACTCCCCTGGTAAGAAATGAAAAAAATCATTTACACTTGTCTACAGTAGGACCCGCGGTTTACGATCAGCTCCCAATGCGACCAATTATGTAAGTGTATTTATGTAAGTGAGTTTGTATGTGTATGTTTGGGGGTCTGAAATGGACTAATCTAATTCACAATATTCCTTATGGGAACAAATTCGGTCAGTACTGGCACCTGAACATACTTCTGGAATGAAATAATATCGTAAACCGGGGGTCCACAATATTCCAAGAACCTACCGTGGATAGCAGCAAACCCTATACGTATATAAGTCTTGTACGTACCTGAACATTAAAATGGTATAAAATACCGACAGATTGTTAGGTAAGACACATATGCAACAGTTAAGGGTATCTTGGTACAGACCATCAACTTCCACAACCTCTACTAGTGAGAACGGCTGGGTTTGAGAAGGACCTGCCCTCCCAAAGCAACCTACGTCTCACCTCCTGGCACTATATAAGGCTCCATCCTGTCACTTCAACTTCATATTGTTTCAGACTATGGAACAATGCTCTTCTCCAGACTGAGGGACTGACCACCTCAAAACTTTAAGGGTGATGGACTGATTACATCGTCTTCAAGTATCTTCTGCTTCTATCAACTTTTCTGTACTCGACTGAAGAAGCCTACTGTGTAGGCGAAACGTTTCATAATAAAGATACCTAACTGTTGCATATGTGTCTTACCTAACTTATACGTACCTATTATAATTGATAAATTATGAACAGTAAGTGGAGAATTATCACTTTTTCACTGATGGGAAGCACTTCACAGCTTCTCTTAGGCACTTTAGGGGTCATTATTGTGCAGAATTAAGAGGCATTTTGGGGACACAGTAAAAAGTGGTTGACTGAAACTGCACTTACCGAATCATTGGATACCTGGAGTTTACCTGGAGAGAGTTCCGGGGGTCAATGCCCTCGCGGCCCGGTCTGTGACCAGGCCTCCTGGTGGATCAGAGCCTGATCAACCAGGCTGTTGCTGCTGGCTGTGTGCAGTCCAGCGTACGAGCTACAACCCGGCTGGTCAGGTACCGACTTTAGATGTTTGCCCAGTGCCTGCTTGAAGACTGCCAGGGGTCTATTGGTAATCCCCCTTATGTATGCTGGGAGGCAGTTGAACAGTCTTGGGCCCCTGACACTTATTGTATTGTCTCTTAACATGCTAGTGACATCCCTGCTTTTCATTGGGGGGAAGTTGCATCGTCTGCTGTATTAAGTTCTTTGTACCAAGTTTCTATCATATTTCATTTAAACTATTTATTCAGAACTTGGTCTCTATGTACATAGTGCAAGGCGATGATAGAGGGTGTAATGATACCAGTGTGGATGAAAGAATGCAAGTGCATATACTTTGGGCATATTTATGGGATATACTTCAGTCCTGGGACAAAGTTCTTTCAGGCATAATATATAGGACCAAATATAAGCACTGGGATCTCAGTCCCAGTACCAAAATCTGTACAGTAATGATGGTCTAAGTGTACGCATTTGTGTCCTTTCAGCCATAATATGCAGAGACAGGTTTAGCACTGAGATTTCATTTCCAGGAGTGAAATGCATCCAGTAATATACAGGACCAGGTTTAGCACTAGGCCTCGGTCCCAGGACCAAAATGTTCCCAGTAATATGCAGGAATAGGTTTAGGACTAATTAGGCACAAGCTAAGCAAAATGCAACTAAATACTATCTCATCTGTATGAAGAGCCTCATTTCTAATGCTTATACAGCCTCTCCTCACTTAGCGACATACTCGTTTACCGACAACTCGGACTTACAACGGGCTGTCTGACCAGTATTCATACCTAAATAATGTATATTAGAGCTGATTTCCTCTATTCTGTTTATTACAATATACACTACACTACTGTATAAACATTTAAAAATATACCAGAAATGTTATAATTGGTGCAAACATGACATTAAAACAATATCAGAGATGGTTGACACAAACCAACTACCATTATAGTATGCTCCTCACTTAGCGATGAATTCGTTTGCCGTCATGGTCTTAGAAACGGAACTCCATCGTTAAGTGCGGAGAGGCTGTATATATATGTACAGTATATACATGTATATGCAAAGCAACCACTGTGAAAGAATAGAGAAATTCCAAGTGCTTTCGTGACTACTCACATTATCATTGTTCCTTGATAATGTGAGTAGTTATGAAAGTGCTTGGAATTTCTCTATTCTTTCACAGTGGTTGTTTTGCATATTCTGAAATCACCTGTTTACTGTGATCTTATTGCACTGTATGTATGTATGTATGTATGTATGTATGTATGTATGTATGTATGTATGTATGTATATGTGTATATATATATATATATATATATATATTGATAGGAGTGAATGGAGACAAATGGTTTTTAATACTTGACGTGCTGTTGGAGTGTGAGCAAAGTAACATTTATGAAGGGATTCAGGGAAACCGGCAGGCCGGACTTGAGTCCTGGAGATGGGAAGTACAGTGCCTGCACTCTGAAGGAGGGGTGTTAATGTTGCAGTTTAAAAACTGTAGTGTAAAGCACCCTTCTGGCAAGACAGTGATGGAGTGAATGATGGTGAAAGTTTTTCTTTTTCGGGCCACCCTGCCTTGGTGGGAATCGGCCAGTGTGATAATAATAATAATAAAATATATATATATATATATATATAAATATATATATATATATATATATATATATATATATATATATATATATATATATATATATATATATATATATATATATATATATATATATATATATATATAGATATATATATATATATATATATTGTAGTTTTCTTTATGGAAATTAATACCCTTAAATATTTTCATATTTAACCTCTTAAACCTGACATAACTTAGGGACAAAAATCTACCTCTGGCCTTAATTATTTAGGCAAACAATACTCTGTTGTATTAATTAATATTAATTGAGGAATTTGATCTTTAAGTTGTCTTATAAAGCTCCTTTATAATATGATTTTTATGTAAATGCAGTTAAGAAAATGCATCCAAAACAGAATAGTGTATTATGATGACCTTTCTGTATAATTTTCAACTTTATATGCACTTTCTAAATCATATTTTCAAAAACAAATTATGTGTACAGGAAGTCCTCAACTTACGAACACACTGGGGACCTCCTGAATTGTATATAATAATAATATTATGCACAGTAATGATATACAGTGGTACCCTGAGTTTCGAACTTTCTTCGTTCCAGAAGGCTATTCGAGTGCCATTACTAAACGAATTTATTCCCATAAGGAATAATGTAAATTAGATTAGTCCGTGTCAGACCCCCCAAAATTCACTTTCAAAAGCATTTACAATAATACACTTACATAATTGGTCGAGTTGGGAGCAGTTCGAGACTCGGGGTACCACTGTAATAATGATATACACAGTACAGAAGATTGTCAACGTGTTTGCAAGTCAAGGACTTACTGTACAGGACCTTTTTACGGTGACTATATATCTTTAAGTAAATAATGAGATTGTTGTGATCCGCAGACATAACACCAAATGGTAGTCTTCGGCGAAGGCGTTCCAGAGTTCCTTCTGAGGAGGACGACCACAAGCTCATGGACTACCTTCACACCGCTGGTCATGACGGCTCCAGAGAAAGGAAGTCCTGGTCTGGCATTGGTGGGAACTTTTGAAGTCTTTATCAAAACTTAAACAATAATTAGTGCACTTTCATATATTATAATCTTAACCCTTAAACGGTCCAAACGTATATGTATGTCCTCTTGCGCAGTGCCCTGAATATTTTGAAAAAAAAAAAAAAAAATTTTATAGAAAAAAGGAGCACATTTTTTAAAGTGTTTTAGAATAAAAAAAAAAATAGGGTGAGTACTTACCAAGATATGAAGCCGAGAAGTTAGACCATCAGTACAGTGAATGGAGACAAATGGTTTTTAATACTTGACGTGCTGTTGGAGTGTGAGCAAAGTAACATTTATGAAGGGATTCAGGGAAACCGGCAGGCCGGACTTGAGTCCTGGAGATGGGAAGTACAGTGCCTGCACTCTGAAGGAGGGGTGTTAATGTTGCAGTTTAAAAACTGTAGTGTAAAGCACCCTTCTGGCAAGACAGTGATGGAGTGAATGATGGTGAAAGTTTTTCTTTTTCGGGCCACCCTGCCTTGGTGGGAATCGGCCAGTGTGATAATAAAATAATACAGGAAAGAGTAAGGTTATGAGGATAACAAAAAGATTAGGTGATGAAAGATTGGATATCAGATTGGAGGGAGAGAGTATGGAGGAGGTGAATGTATTCAGATATTTGGGAGTGGACGTGTCAGCGGATGCGTCTATGAAAGATGAGGTGAATCATAGAATTGATGAGGGGAAAAGGGTGAGTGGTGCACTTAGGAGTCTGTGGAGACAAAGAACTTTGTCCTTGGAGGCAAAGAGGGGAATGTATGAGAGTATAGTTTTACCAACGCTCTTATATGGGTGTGAAGCATGGGTGATGAATGTTGCAGCGAGGAGAAGGCTGGAGGCAGTGGAGATGTCATGTGTGAGGGCAATGTGCGGTGTTAATATAATGCAGAGAATTCGTAGTTTGGAAGTTAGGAGGAGGTGCGAGATTACCAAAACTGTTGTCCAGAGGGCTGAGGAAGGGTTGTTGAGGTGGTTCGGACATGTAGAGAGAATGGAGCGAAACAGAATGACTTCAAGAGTGTATCAGTCTGTAGTGGAAGGAAGGCGGGGTAGGGGTCGGCCTAGGGAAGGTTGGAGGGAGGGGGTAAAGGAGGTTTTGTGTGCGAGGGGCTTAGACTTCCAGTGGGCATGCATGAGTGTGTTTGATAGGAGTGAATGGAGACAAATGGTTTTTAATACTTGACGTGCTGTTGGAGTGTGAGCAAAGTAACATTTATGAAGGGGTTCAGGGAAACCGGCAGGCCGGACTTGAGTCCTGGAGATGGGAAGTACAGTGCCTGCACTCTGAAGGAGGGGTGTTAATGTTGCAGTTTAAAAACTGTAGTGTAAAGCACCCTTCTGGTAAGACAGTGATGGAGTGAATGATGGTGAAAGTTTTTCTTTTTTGGGCCACACTGCCTTGGTGGGTGACAGCCAGTGTGATAATAAAAAAAAATGAAGAAATAAAAGTTAATACAGTAACTCCTCGACTTACAAACACACTGAGAATATTTTTGTTAATATCATTACTGTTCTCTATGGGGAAATGGAACAGAAATCTTCCTCCATAAGCCATGCATGTTGATAAATTAGACACATGTGCAACTCTTGGGTATCTTTACTGATGAAACGTTTCACCACACAGTGGCTTCATCAGTCCATACAAAGGAGAAACGTGAAGAGCAGGAGAAGAATGAGGTAATCAGTCCCTCAACCTTGAGTCGATGTGGTCAGTCAGAGGCGACTAAAATGCCGGGAGCAAGGGGCTAGTAACCCCTTCTCGTGTATACATTACTAAATTTAAAAAGAGAAACTTTAGTTTTTCTTTTTAGGTCACCCTGCCCCAGTGGGATATGTCCTGTTTGTTGAAAGAAGGATCATTATTGTGTATATCTTCTTCTCTTTCAACATACTGGCCATATCCCACTGAGGCAGGGTGACCCAAAAAGAAAAGCAAAAGTTTCTCTTTTTAACATTAGTAATGTATACAGAAAGGGTTACTAGCCCCTTGTTCCTGGCATTTTAGTTGCCTCTTACACCACGCACTTTTCCATGGAGATAAGAGGAAATAAACAAGAACAAGAACTAGTAAGAAAATAAAGAAAACCCAGAGGAGTGTGTATATATATGCTTGTACTGTACATGCATGTGTAGTATGACCTAAATGTAAGTAGAAGTAGAAGTATATTATTATATACAGTGGAACCTCAAAAATCGAACTGCTTCCAACACAATCAATTATGTAAGTGTATTTTTGTAAGTGCTTCTATAAGTGTATTTTTGAGGGTCTGAAATGGACTAACCTAATTTACATTATTCCTCATGGGAATAAATTAATTCGGTAAAGGCATTCGAACAGCCTTCTGGACCAAAGAAAGTTCGATATTTGAGGTTCCACTGTATTACTGTACACAATACAGAAGATCCCCAACGTATTCATAAGTTAAAGATTTCCTGTATTATGAATATTATTCACAATTCAGGAGGTCTCCAATGTGTTTGTGACTTAGCACTTCTTTTTGATTATAATAATAATAATCCAATGTGTTTGTGAGTTGAGGACTTGCTGTATTAGTATGACTTAAGCTTGACATATTAATGTTTATTTTAGCAGAGGGCTATGGGTCTCTGGATCGGTCGTTTGCTCGACGTGCGCGTGGAGGAGGGAGAAATCGTCCGAGTCTACTTGCATCTGAATCCTCAGAGAGGGAGCGGCCTGCTTCTCCTTCAACCATTTCCAGTGACAAACCTCAACCACCTGACCATAATAGACCAAGGTGAACACTACTGTACTTACTACAGTAGGGCCCCACTTATACGGCAGGTTAGGTTCCAGGCTACTGCCGGAAAGCAGACATCGCCAAAAAGCAGAACACCATTTTTTCCACTTATAAATGCATATAAATGCCAGGTAACAAGTTTACACTAACATATACAGTGGACCCTCGCTTTACGATCAGCTCCCAATGCGACCAATTATGTAAGTGTATTTATGTAAGTGCGTTTGTATGTGTATGTTTGGGGGTCTGAAATGGGCTAATCTACTTCACAATATTCCTTATGGGAACAAATTCGGTCAGTACTGGCACCTGAACATACTTCTGGAATGAAATAATATTGTAAACCGGGGGTCCACTGTATTATGATAGCAATAGAACTAGGTATTAAAAACAATAAAAAGTTACACACAGTACATGCATTACTTACCTTAAAATATTTGTAGTCTTAATGTAGGGTGAGAGGCGAGTTTTATTTGTAGTAAGTCAGGTTTGATTATTATTATTATTATAATCAAGGGGGAAGCGCTAAACCCGGAGGATTATACAGCGCCTGGGGGGGGATGTGGAAGGCATTCAGGCTTAATTCGGGGAACTGGAGCACAGATCCAATTCCCTAAATCAAGAGCCCCTCACCAACATCAAGGAACCTTCCTTGAGGGGTAAGTCAGGTTTGAGAAGTATGATATCTAGCCAGGGCAGCCAACCCCACCCCACCCACATGTAATGTAAACAAACCAGACAAACACGTCTGGTTTTCGTCACTTTACATTTGTGTACAAGTCGTCTACACATTGATACTGTAGAATAAATAAAGAGAAACATTCCCATTCTCTTGTAACACCAACTTTAGAAGAAATGATACCCAGAGCGAAGGTATGCTTAGGTACAGGTACACATACGTGTAAGTATCAGTTATTAGTTATTGTATTTGCTATTCAACTTTTTCAGTTGCATTTAGACTAGATTACATTACATTCTTTATTTCAGCATAATACAGTGTGTGTACACAGGTGGATTATATTTAGGTGTGCATGCAGAAAGTATCTTAATATTCAGAGTATTTCAGGCAAACTTAAGATTAATGAGTAATTGAGTGCTGTTATATACAGTGGTTGTAAATATAAATTTAGGAGTTGCAACCAGTATAAGAGAACTGAATATCCTATACAAAAATAATTACACTGCAGACATTGTAATATTTTATTTCTGCATGATTCAGTGTTTGTACATTGATGGGTGATATTTAGTTGTACATTCAGAAAGCCATAGTTATACCTCACTAATATGGCAAGCCGTGGCCTGGTGGCATGAGTTCTCACTTCACACGGTGAGGGGTTTGATTCTTGGCATGGGTGGAAACATTGGATGTGTTTCCTTACACCGGTTGTCCATGTTCACCCATGACCTGACCAGCCGGGCTGTGGCTCGTACGTTGGATTGTGTGCAGCCAACAGTAATAGCCTGGTTGATTAGGCTCTGATCCACCATGAGGCCTGGTCACAGACCGGGCAGTGGGGGCGTTGACCCCCCGAAACTCTCTCCAGGTAAACTCCAGGTGTTAGTCAATTGTGTGGGTTGCATCCTGGGACAAAATTGACCCAATTTGCAGGAAATGCTCTGCATAACAAGCAGCTTTCTATATACTAGTATGTCATTGATGTCAGCTAGGCTTGTATACCTTGTACAGTGGAACCTCAAATATTGAACTTTCTTCAGTTCAGAAGGCTGTTCGAGTGCCTTTACCGAATGAATTTATTCCCATCAGGAATAATGTAAATTAGATTAGTCCATTTCAGACCCTCAAAAACACACTTATAAAAGCACTTACAAAAATACACTTACATAATTGGTTGTGTTGGGAGCAGTTCGATTTTTGAGGTTCCGATGTATGTACTTGAAGAAACGAAGATATTATTATTAAGCTAGGTTCTAGACCACCGCCATAGAGCAAATATCGCCTTATAGCAAATCACAGCCTTTTTTCACTTGTCATTGCATATAAAAGTAAAAACGTGTTTAAATCATCATTAATAAATAACAAAAAGGCACAATACCGTGACTGGAACGATACACAAATAACCCGCACATAAAAGACAGAAGCTTACGACGACGTTTCGGTCCGACTTGGACCATTGACTTTGTCAATGGTCCAAGTCGGACCAAAACGTCGTCGTAAGCTTCTGTCTTTTATGTGCGGGTTATTTGTGTATTAAATCATCATTTATTAAGTGTGCAATAGTGCTAGGCATAAAAACGATGCAACAGTAAAAATAAATAAAAAATGCGCATCACTGGTGAAAACAACCTTAAGCACCGTGTTAGCGAAGCACTTTAACCCGTAAACGGTCCAAACGTATATATACGTTTTTTCAACATTTGAAAGTATGTAAAAAAAGTAGATCTTCTTTTTGTTTTTTTACAATTGAAAACGTGTAAAAAACTTTGATCTAATTTTTTTTATATATATTTGAAAATATTTAAAAAAAACGTAGATCTACTTTTGTAGCACTACACACGTGAACATAGATCTGCTTGGACCGTTTATGGGTTAAAGAGGTACGCCTCTATATGGAGGAGCTCTATAACAGAGTTTACCGTACTGTGCCATCAGGGTCCTTGTAGTAGCAGGTACTTTCGTGTGGATAAAGAAAAAGAAGACTACATTCTGATTTGTAACCCAGGATTACCCAAGAAAACCATGCATTGTGGGTTTTTTTTCATTTGGGCCTCAGTTCCTACCACACAATGCAATTCACAATAGTCTGGCAATTAGGCACCTATTTACTCCTAGGCAAAGAGGAGCAGCATGTGTTAAAAGCCTAGACTATACATCATACCTGGCCTAGGGTATGAAAACAGACAAATATATTTTGAAAAAGCATAAAAATGTTTCAGTATTTTGTTACCAGTATTTGTAAATTACAGTGGACCCCCGGTTTACGATATTATTTCATTCCAGAAGTATGTACAGGTGCCAGTACTGAACGAATTTGTTCCCATAAGGAATATTGTGAAGTAGATTAGTCCATTTCAAACCCTCAAACATACACGTACAAACGCACTTACATAAATACACTTGAAGATTGAGACACTTATACAGCATAAGTGTCTCAATCTTCAACTTGTCGGTTTTTCAAACCATTCATCATAAATACACTTACATAATTGGTCGCATTGGGAGCTGTTCGTAAACCGGGGGTCCACTGTAGTACAGTGGACCCCCGGTTAACGATATTATTTCATTCCAGAAGTATGTTCAGGTGCCAGTACTGACCGAATTTGTACCCATAAGGAATATTGTGAAGTAGATTAGTCCATTTCAAACCCTCAAACATACACGTACAAACGCACTTACATAAATACACTTACATAATTGGTCGCATTGGGAGGTGATCGTTATGCGGGGGTCCACTGTATTTGTAATTTATTTTTAAAATTTATGATTTTGTTATGTCACCATGGTTGTTCAACATATTGACTTGGGCAGTAACAAAATCAGTGTGATTTATACGCTTCTGTATTACCAGTTTTAAACTGAGGAAATTTTAGATATCTTCTTTCAACAATCTGGCTGTATCTCACCAAAGCAGGGTGGCCCAAAAAGAAAAACAAAGGTTTCTCTTTTTTAACTAAAGTAATGTATATAGTCCCTTGTTCCCAGCATGTTAGTCACCTCTTACGACATGCATTGCTTATGGAGGAAGAATTCTGTTCCACTTACCCATGGAGAATTGTAAATAAATGGTTACCTAAAAATCTGCTAAGAACAAAGATTTTAAGATATTCAACTAGCGGCACTCTGATAAGCTAGCTCATATAGAATACTGTACCAAATAGGCAAGTTGTAAGATCATTCATATACATACTATATTTTCTGGCATATAACGCTCATGAGTATATAAGACCCATAAGACGATATTTCCAAGCAGTTATAACTTAACGCTAGTAAACAACTGCTAAAGCATAACACAAAGCCTAGTCATGATCCTAATCTTGAGCATATAAGGCGCAGGATGATTTTCCAAGATTTTTATGGGGGGAAAAAAGTGCGCCTTATATGCTAAAAAAATACAGTGCTTTTCTAAAATATAGGCAAGAATGACACAATTGTATCTTTATTGAGACAAAAACAAAGACAAAATTTATTTCATTGTAGAGGCTACCATGCCGGAGCATTTCGGGCAGACTAATCCTAATGCTTACACACTACTTAAGACTAGATAGGTAAAGGGTGGTAAATTTTAATTATACAGTGGAACCTCAGAAATCAAACTGCTCCCAACATAACCAGTTATGTAAGTGCATTTTTGTAAGTGCTTCTATAAGTGTATTTTTGAGGGTTTGAAATGGACTAGCCTAATTTATATTATTCCTTATGGGAATAAATTCATTCGGTAAAGGCACTCGAACCAGCCTTCTGGACTGAAGAAAGTTTGATATTTGAGGTTCCACTGTACATTATTTTCCTTATTACAATGTGAGGTTGCTAATTGTTTACAGTAATACGATACTGTATTTAGTTGTGGTATAGTGTATGAGTGTAGTAATGTAATACATATTAGTTGTTGCTTTATTATGTGTAGCAGTAATACAGTATTATTTGTTGCTTTACTACTTTCAGCGTTAATTATATATTGTTATTACCCTGTGCAGTATTATAGTATGAATTTAAATATCAGTATTTAATTACATATATTTCTCCTACATCAAATTGACTCATAGTAATTGACTCTCAACAGCAAAAATTGGCGTCAAAAGATCGAGTCATGGTTTAAGGAGAACGAGAAGGAAGAACGGCAGTCCGACGAACTCAAGAGGCGGCTACACCAGCACCGTAAATCCTTGGACTTGGATACCTCACTCGGTAGGTCAGGTTAATGTTTTTTAACCACACCGGCCATCTCCCACCGAGGCAGGAGACCCAAAAATGAAGAAACAAAAGTTCTTTTCTTCTTTTTACATTAAGTAATTTGTACAGGAGAAGGGGTCACTAGCCCCTTGCTCCTGGCATTTTAGTCGCCCCTTATGACTTACAGAGGAACGATTGTTCACTTTCCTATGAGGTTGGGATAATTACAATAAGTCCTTGACTTACAGACACGTTGAGAATGTTCTGTATTTTGTATACCATTATCGTCTATAATATCATTGTTATATCATTATTATACACAATAGAGAAGGTCCCCAATGTGTTTGTAAGTTGAAGAATTCCTATATTATGAATATTATACACAATTTAGGAGGTCCCTGATGTGTTTGTAAGTTGAAGACTTACTGTATAAAGGTGCATCTCGGCTTACAATGGGGTTACGTTCCGACAATCCCATCGTAAGTTGAAAATATTATAAGTTGAATATGAATTTTATATGATAAATAAATAAGTCCTAGGTAGTAGGTTGGTAGACAGCAACCGCCCAGGGAGGTACTACCGTCCTGCCAAGTGAGTGTAAAACGAAAGCCTGTAATTGTTTTACATGATGGTAGGATTGCTGGTATCCTTTTTTCTGTCTCATAAACATGCAAGATTTCACTTACGTCTTGTTACTTCTACTTACACTTAGGTCACACTACACATACATGTACAAGCGTATATATACATACCCCTCTGGGTTTTCTTCTATTTTCTTTCTAGTTCTTGTTCTTGTTTATTTCCTCTTATCTCCATGGGGAAGTGGAACAGAATTCTTCCTCCATAAGCCATGCGTGTTGTAAGAGGCGACTAAAATGCCGGGAGCAAGGGGCTAGTAACCCCTTCTCCTGTATATATTACTAAATGTAAAAGGAGAAACTTTCGTTTTTCCTTTTGGGCCACCCTGCCTCGGTGGGATACGGCCGATGTGTTGAAAGAAAGAAAGAAATAAATAAGTAGCCATGTGTGTCGTAAGAGGCGACTAAAATGCCGAGAGTAAGGAGCTAGTAACCCCTTCTTCTGTATACATTATTAAATTTGAAAAGAAAAACATTTGTTTTTCTTTTTGGGCCACCCTGTCTCAGTGGGATACAGTTGGTGCATTGAAAGAAAGAAAGAACGAAGAAATAAGTAAGTAAACAAATAACTACTGTCGCTGAATAAGTAAATAGACAGATAATTACTGTAACTAACCAAATACCAGTATTGAAAAGGTAATAAATGAATACAAGTTGTGGACTTGCCATCTTCATCTCCAAAGTAATTGCTTTTGCGCCATTGTAAAATCTAAATATCGTAAGTCAAACCATCGTAAGTCAAGAAATACCTGTATATTATTTGTTTATTTATCAAGGGGCTACTAACCCATTCTGTATGAATTACTAAATGTAAAAAAAAAAGAAACTTTATTTATCTTCTTTTTTGGGTCACTCTGATAGGAGATGGTGTTTGATTTATGATTTTTCCAAACTATTTCCGGCTCACCACTAAAATTAAAATATTTTGACTAAAAATACATTATTTTAGAGTTAAAGTACCTAATCTGTTAGATTTATTGTACTTTTCATGTGATGTTTTAAAGATATGTAATATTTTAGAAAAATACGTAATTACTTACCTTGCCTTGGGCATCTCCCAGGAAGGTAAGATGACCCCATTACAAAAAACATTAATTATTGTTCATTCAGTCGATGTCTTGCTATAAGCGTGTTGACACTGCAGTTTATATGTTCCTTTTAACTATGACATCCTCAACTGTGCTTGAGAGTCTAGGCACTGTGCTCCTCACCTCCAGGACTCAAGTCTAGCTAACCAGTTTCCACTGAATCTCTTAAAAATGTTAACTTGCTCGCACTCCAATAACTCTTACATTAACAACCGCTACTTTCCATTCACACACACATACACAAATCTGCCAGGTGCTCAAGCACCTAAAATTTAAAGCCACTTTTACCTCTCTTCCTTCAACCATTAATGTTATGGCCCCTTCCCCTTATCTTTCACTCCAGATTTAGACACCCTCTTCATTATCCTATTCCCTCTCCATCCTCTCTTCAGTCCGAACTACCTCAACAACCCCTCATCAGCCAGCCATCTCAGTTATACCATTGTGATGCCACATCATTTTTTAATTCCAATACTACAAGTTCTCTGTATGATAGTCACACCACACGTTGTTTTCAAACCTGACACATCCACTGCCTCCAGCCTCCTCCTTGCTGCAGCATTTAAAACCCATGCCTCATATCCATATAAAACTGTTGGTACCAGTGTACTGTGGTACATTACCCTTCTTGCCTCCATGGGTAAACTCTCTTTTCATAGATGCTTCAACACACCTTCCATCTTTTTTTTTCCATTCATGGTTTGCATCATCTTTCATAGATCATCTGCTGACAGGTCCACTCCCAAATATCTGAACACATTCACTTCCTCCATACTTCCTTCTTCATTGATACTACTCGGAAGTCTGTTTCCACTCATCCACAACTCTATTACAAAACCAGTGCTTTCCTATACCCTTTCTAAATATAAATTTTTAATGATGCAAAGTTTAAAATTTTTATATGTCCATCACATCTTGACTTATTTGTGTAAAGTCTTTTATTGTGTCTCACATAAGTACTTTTTTCTTTACATTAACCCGTAAATGGTCCAAGCAGATCTACGTTCACATGTGTTGTGCTACAAAAGTAGATCTACGTTTTTTTTACATATTTTCAAATACGTACAACAAAAAAAAAAAAGTTTATCAAAGTTTTTTTTACACATTTTCAAATGTAGAAAAACAAAAAGAAGATCTACTTTTTTTACATACTTTCAAATGTTGAAAAAACGTATATATACGTTTGGACCGTTTACGGGTTCAGGGTTAAATTTATTTGAAAAAAAAAAAGTCACTATAAACTAGCTTTATAAAAGAGAAGTTTATTGTAGTACTTAAAAAATCTTTTTCTGATTCGGTAAATATTTTAAATGTGTATAACTCGGTTATTTAACGTTGACTGAATAAGACTCATTTTATATTTTTTTATGATTCTCCTCGAGTTTTAATTTTCTCTAATATTTTCATTATCTTCTTCCTTCATCATTCTTTGATCTTCATTACTTCTCTCTCTCTCTTCCTTCACCATCCTTCAGTCTTTTATCTTTCTGTTGTCCTCATAGCTTCTATATTTTATTTCCATGGCTTTTTTACTTTCTACATTACACTTATTCATCTCTCTTTCCCTCTTATGCCCCTTTTGTTGTTTTTATTATCTTTTCTTGACTCATTTTATTGTCATCTTTTATCTTTAATATATTATTCCTTCATTTTTCCTATTCTATGCCTTTGTTTTAATGTCCATTTTACTTTTCATATTAATTATACTTCATCTCCTCTCTTATTAATTATAATTTATCTCTTCCTTTCTTATTAATTATACGTATTTCATCTCCTCACTTATTAATTATATTTCATCTCCTTCTTTCTTATTATATTCCATCTCCTGTATCTCTCTCTCTGTCATGCAAGTCCCATGATCATTGCCAATTCGTAATTTGCTAATAAATTCTTTACTTATATCTGCCTGTGTGTGGGGTGGGCATTATGCCACTGATAACCCACTTAGACGAGGGTGGTGGTATGGGAGGCAGCGTGAGTGCTGGTGTCGCCTCACTAGGAACCTTACCGGAAGACCAGCCCTCGGAGGATAGCGAAAGAGGAGTTGTGGATGGAGCAGGTGGAGGTGGCGGGTACCGGCGTGTCTACCAGGATTGGAGACCATCGGTCGAGAAGACGGACGTTGTGCGTGCCATGGAGGCTATAGAAGGTGGGTGCTCACTACTGCTATTTTTTTTATTTTATTAACATATTAGCCTGTTCCCACTGAGGCAGGGCAACCTGAAAAAGAAGAAACACTTTCATCATCATTCACTCTATCACTGTCTTGTGTAATTTTTCTAAGTTTTCCATCAAATTTTGTATTTTTGGTGTCATTACTTTCAGAAAAATATTCTATATTATTCCTGAAGAAATTTTTTTTTTTTTTAAATGTGGACACAGAGAGCAGTATTAATTTCAGACATCTGAACAATGAGAGGGTTAAAGATGCTATAATTTATGCATAGATCTACACCACATACCTCAACACACCTTGCCCTCCAAAAGGCTTCGTATTTTCTATTGGCCAAATAAACATTATTTATTTCCCATATAAATATTTTTTATTGTCAGTATATTTTCTATTACCTACACAAATACATGTACAGTGGACCCCCGGTTAACGATATTTTTTCACTCCAGAAGTATGTTCAGGTGCCAGTACTGACCGAATTTGTTCCCATAAGGAATATTGTGAAGTAGATTAGTCCATTTCAGACCCCCAAACATACACGTACAAACGCACTTACATAAATACACTTACATAATTGGTCGCATTCGGAGGTGATCGTTATGCGGGGGTCCACTGTATTTTCTACTGCCCATATATTTTCTGTTGCCCACATAAATATTTTCTATTATCTATGTAAACATTTTCTATAGCCTACCTAAACAGGCTTTCTATGTTAGAACAGTCAAGGTTAGGTACACTGTGAGGTGTGTGTGTCAGGGTACATGTATGTGTGTTGAGAGTGTACTCCCTGTGTTGTGGTTGAAGGGTAGTCTAAGTCAAAGACAAAGATTTATTTCCACATAAAACAGTGTAGAGATCGGTGACATTTTGACTCAGGAAATCTTAATGACATGATTTTAAACAAACCACAGTACAGGCAGGGATTGAACTCACAGCTCTTGAGTTATAAAACTCCAGACTGGCACATTAGCCCTTAGACTATATGGTGGTAATAAATATTATAGGTTTATATGTATACATAAGGAGGGGCTTGGACTTCCAGCAAGCGTGCACGAGTGTGTTAGATAGGAGCGAGTGGAGACAAATGGTTTTTATGACTTGAAGTGCTGTTGGAGTGTGAGCAAAGCAACATTTATAAATGGATTCAGGGAAATTGGTTAGCTGGACTTGAGTCATGGAGGTGGAAAGTACAGTGCCTGCACTCTGAAAGATGTTGATATGTAGTGAGCCTGGCCCATGGCCAGCCTCCGAGAGTAGTAAGACTCTTGAAACTCATCAAAGGTAAGTATATGGTAAGGCATGCCTCTGGTAAGACAGTGATGGAAATATAACACAAATGCAGTATAATGTGATCCTTTATTGACAACGTTTCACCCACACAGTGGGCTTTTTCAAGTCACACACGGATCTACCTGGGGTTGGAAGGTACGGGAGTATTTATAGTTCAGAATGTTGAGGTCAGGTGGAGAATGCTGCATCTGATGATCTACCGGGTGGGGTTATAGAGTCTTGGGTAGCTAGGCGGGGATATTGGACAAGTTGTGAGTAGACCTTCTGCAGTGTTCTATGTTTTTATGTGGGTAGCGTTTAAAAAAGTTTTTGGCGATGGTTTCAGCTAGTTATAGAAGCCATTGTTCTGGTTAAAATTTTGGTTATAGAGAAAACGATGATTCCAGGTTTTCTTCTGTATTGATATTGTCATTGGGCTATAAGTCTTGATTTTTCTGTATTAAATTTTAAATGGTTGTGTGAATTGCGATTTGTACACGGGCTTCCTTGTACGCAGTCCTGCGCATATTGGTTTTCTGAATACGTGTTTGGAGGTCTCTTGATTTTTTCGCCCACATAAAATTTTTGTTGCAGTCATTACAAGGGATTAGTATACCCCTGCAGAGGAGGGGGCTTGTCCTTCTACTACTGGTGATGTCCTTAAGGGTCGTGGTTGTGGAGGTAAATACTTGGAATGATTTTTGGCAAGATTTTTTGGAAAAAATGTTTGGCAAGGGATTTGGTGGGAAGGACTAGTATCTTTCTCGGCGGTGCTTCCCCGGGGTGTTTTGAAGATTTTAATGCACGCCGTTGCAGCCCTTGATGAAGTGACGAGGTAGGGGATTTTGGGAAAATACTTGTTCAATTAAGTGCATTCTTCCTCAAGGAACTCTTTGCTGCAGATTCTGAGTGCACGCAGGAAGAACCTAAAATACACCACGTTTGGTTTTGGTGTCGTGGTGAGAGTAAATGGGAAGATCTTTTTGGTTGTGGGTTTTTGATAGACTTTAAAAAAACGAAGTTCGGGGTCATTTTTGAGAGTAAAACATCAAGGAAGGAAGAGTGTTTTCGACTTCTTCTCAAGTGTGAACTGGTTTGAAGGCTCGCCCTGGTTGAGCTTGTCTTGGAGAGTTTAAAACGTTGAAGCATTTAGGAGTTTGAGGGTGTCGTCAACATAACGGAGCCGGGTGACAGACAAGGGAATAATGGTGGAAAACGTTCGGCTTCTAAGTTCCATGTTGGGTTGCCAACTGCACTGAGGGGCGAACCCAGGGTAGCCCAAAAGTCTGCTGAAAGAGGGTGATTTTCGAAAGAGAAACACGTAAAGCCAACACATAGTTCAAGAAGGTGGGATGAAATCGCTGTGGAAGGGAAGATAAAGGGAAAAACGTCATTTTTCTGCGCAAGAGTCGAGGGCTTGTTTAGTAGGTATTTAGGAATAGGGAAGTCCGTCAAGGCTGGAAATTTCTTTTTCCTGATTTTGATTTGCGAAGCAAATTAGAAGATCACCTGAGTGTTTGAGATGTGGGGGATGATAGTCCCCAAAAGAGTTTAGGAGGTTTTTTGGCGAGAATTCCTGAGAGCGGGGGGGAAGCATCCCTATTCCCGAGGATATGGGCCTCAGGGGATACCAGGCTTGGATTTTTTTTGGGCAGCCCACATTCGGGCTGGTCTGGGTTCGGGGCATGGTGTGCAGAAGTTTCTTTCCTTGTTCTGACCCCCTCAAATGCGGCGAGCCCCTTTAAGAAAGTTTTAGAAAGGGTTTGTCCATTGGTTAGTTGTGAGGGGTTTGTGGGTATCTGGGTCATTAAGTAATTAGCTTTTTTTCCTGTAATCGTCAGTGTTCTGATAACAACACCCCCTCCTTTATCACGTGGGCCCCTGTGGTCGTGTCTTTTGCTAAACCTTTGATGCTTTGATGAAAGTCGGGGTATGACGGGGGGACTGCGTTTTTGAAGGCTGCTGGAGAGCTTTGAAGATGTCTTTTGGAAGTCGGGTCTTTGTGCGTATTTTTGGAATTAAAATTTTGAGGTCTTGTTTTGGTTTCGAAATTCCCTGTGCAAATTTGAGGCCTAACTGAGGGCTTCAGTTTCTGTGGTTGACATGGACGAGATGAAAAGATTTTGAAATAATTTCGGGCTTCCTAAAAAATTTTCCCAAAATTTCTATTATCGCAGAGTGTTTTTTAGTTTCCTATAAGTCGTCTTCTGTTGAACATTCGCTGTGGTAACTCTGCTGCGAATGATTTCGGCGGTGGTCGTTAAAGTTGCCCCCGGGGTGTTGTGCCCAGTGTTCTGGCTTGGAGAAAAAACTTCCCTTTTAGCATTGTTTAAAGTCATCTGCACACTCTTCAAGGTGGGGGCCGAGCTTAGCGGAGAAAGGGTGGTTTTTTATGTTGGCAATTTGAGGGGAAAATAGATCTGGTAAAACCATTTCTGGGTGCAATCACGAAAAAATTGTGTTTGTTTCGAAAGAGTAAGCTTTTTGAAGAAAAGGGCCATTATTCTCTGTTGAAGGATCCATTTCTCTGCAGTGTTTTACACTGGAAAAAATGGTATAAAAAAACCCACCAATGGAAATATAAAAAACCCAAAAGCAGTATAAAGTGATCCCCTTTATTTACAACGTTTCACCCACACAGTGGGCTTTTCAAGTCACACACGGATCTACCTGGGGTTGGGGAAATACGGGAGTATTTAAAAATTTAAATGTTAGGTCAGGTGGAGAAGCTGCATCTGAGATCTACCCGGGTGGGGTTATGAGCTTGGGTACTAGGGGGGGATATTTGGGCAAGTTGTAGTAGACCTTTTGCAGGTTCTATGTTTTTATGGGGATAGCGTGAAGAAGTTTTTTGGGGAGTGGGTTTAGCTATGTTTTAGAAGCCCTTGTTCTGGGGTTTAAATTTTTGGGTTTTAGAGAAAACGATGATTCCAATTCTCTGTTTGAGTATTGTCTTCTTGGCTATAAGTCTTGGTTTTTTAGTTAATTAAATGGTTTTTAATTGCGATGTTGTACACAGGAAAACCTTTTATCGTCAGCCCTTTAATTGGTGTCTGAAATACGGGTTTGGGGGTCTCTTTATTTTCGCCCCAATAATTTGTTGAGTCATTACAAGGGATTTTTAACCCCCGCAGGGAGGAGGGTTTTCCCGCTACAGGTGATGTCCCTTTATGTCGGTTGTGGGGTAGATACTTGGAATGAGTTTTGGCAAAGATGTTGGAAACAGTTTGCAAAGGAGTTGGTGGAAGGGGCTAGTATCTCTTTTGCAGGTCTTTTCTGGTGGTTGAAGATGTTTAATGCTCGCCGTCTCAGTCTCGATGAAGTGACGAGGGTGGGAGTTTGGGGAAAAAACTTGTTCAATTAAGTGCATTCTTCCCAGGAACTCGTTGCTGCAGATTCTGTTTCACGCAGGAAAAAGCCTATAATTACACCAGTTTGGTTTTTGGGGTCGTGGGAGAGTAGAAGGGAAAGATCGTTTTGGGTTTTTTTTTATCATGAAAACTACGATTAAGGAACAAAATGCTAATTACTTAAAAGACCCGATACCCACAAACCTCTCCAAAAACCCCAAGTGGAAAAACCTTACTAAAACTTTTTTTAAAGGGCTCGCCGCATTTTGAGGGGCTCAGAACAAGGGGAAAAAACTTCTGACACCAAAGCCCACAACCCCCCGACCTCAGAATGTACGGCCTGCCAAAAAAAAACAAGCCTGGGATCCCACTGAGGCCCATATCCTCGGGGAAAAGGCGTGCTCCCCACCAGCTCTCAGGAATTCTCGCCAAACACCTCTCAAACTCTTGGGGCCCATCAGTCCAGACATCTCAAAACACTCAGGTGATCTTCTCAATCACATTCGCAACATCAACATCAGAACAAGAAACTTTCCAGCCTTGACGTGACTTCCCTATTCACTAAAGTACCTACTAAACAAGCCATCGATCTCTTTGCGCAGGAAAATTGACGATTCACTTGTTTCTTCCCATTCCAGCCAGCGATTTCATTGACCTTTTTTGAACTATGTGGTTGGCTTTACGTGTTTTCTTTCAAAAAATCACCTCTTTCAGCAGACTTTTGGATTTACCCAGGGGTTTCCCGCCACTCAGTGCAGTCCTGGCGAACCTATACATGGAACATCTGAAGCCGAACGTTTCTCCACCATTATTCCTTCGTCTGTCACCTGGCTCCGTTATGTTGACGACATTCTCCTCATAACTCCTAAACGCTTCAACGTTCAAGCTCTCCAAGACAAGCTCAACCAGGTCGAGCCTTCAATCCAGTTCACATTGAAGAAGAAGTCGACAACACTCTCCTTTCCTTGATGTTCTACTCTGCAAAGCTGACCACGAACTTCTTTTTTTAAAGTCTATCGAAAAACCCACCAACCAAAACGATCTTCTCCATTCTACTCTCACCACGACACCAAAACCAAACGTGGTGTAATTATAGGCTTCTTCCTGTGTGCACTCAGAATCTGCACCCAACGAGTTCCTTGAGGAAGAATGCACTATAATTGAACAAGTATTTTCCAAACTCCACTATCCCGTCACTTCATCAGAGACTGCAGACGGCGAGCATTAAACATCTTCAACACACCCAGAGAAGACACTCCCCGAGAAGAGATACATAGTCCTTCCCACCAACTCCATTGCCAAACATGTTTCCAACATCTTTGCCAAAAACATCATTCCAAGTATCTACCTCCACAACCACGACCTTTTCAAGGACATACCAGTAGTAGACAGGACAAGCCTCCATCCTCTGCAGGGGTATACATAATCCCTTGTAATGACTCCCAACCCAAATTATATGTGGGCGAAACATCAAGAGACCTCCAAACACGTATTTCAGAACACCAATATGCAAGCAGGACTGACGATACACGGAATGCCTGTGTACAACATCGCAATTCACACAACCATTTAATTAACTACAGAAAATCAAGACTTATAGCCACAGAAGACAATACTCAATACAGAAGAATCCTGGGAAACATCGTTTATCTCTATAACCAACAATTTTTAACCAGAAAAATGGCTTCTATAACATAGCTGAACCACTCGCCAAGAAACTTCTTCATCGCTATCCCACATAAGAACATAGAACACTGCAGAAGGTCTACTCACAAATTGTCCAATATCCCCGCCTAGTACCCCAAGACTCTATAACCCCACCCGGTAGATCATCAGATGCAACATTCTCCACCTGACCTCAACATTCTGAACTATAAATACTCCCGTACCTTCCAACCCCAGGTAGATCCGTGTGTGACTTGAAAAAGCCCACTGTGTGAGTGAAACGTTGTCGATAAAGGATCACATTATACTGCATTTGTGTTTATATTTCCATTGTGTCGGTATTTTATACCATTTATTTCCAAGACAGTGATGGTATGAATGATGAAAGTATTTCTCCTTTTTTGGGTCACCCTGCCTTGGCAGGAAATGGCCAATGTGTTAATAAAAAATATATATATATATATATATACATGGATAAGGACATTTAGGGTATACTACAAACAATAAATTTAAGCATAACAAAGAGAATAATCATGTTGAGTTGTTCAGCCAATATCACTCATTCATACCAATAGTTGACACAAGATTTAGAGATTTTGCCACTGAAGTGGCTAGTTTATTGTGCACCTCATATCCATCCTGTGGATGGTAGTGACTAGTTTATTGTGCACCTCATATCCATCCTGTGGATGGTAGTGGCTAGTTTATTGTGTACCTCATATCCATCCTGCAGATGGTAGTGACTAGTTTATTGTGCACCTCATATCCATCCTATGGATGGTAGTGGCTAGTTTATTGTGCACCTCATATCCATCCTAGGATGGTATTGCAAGAACATATGGATACACAAAAGGCCTAGGAACTAGGCCCCAAAAGGGTTAACAGGAGTACATATGAATTTATATCTACAGTTCACTTATCTGTTACCAGCAAATTTAGGAAATTTGCATAATATATCTGGTATCAACAAACCGAAGTATAAATGTGATACAAACAAAAGGCAGTACACAGGATTCAGTTTTGTTCTATACAATTACATTAACTGCTATCACTTCTCCACACCCAACACCCTAACTTTGGGATTAAAGTGTTTGTGACTGGCGTTGTACAGGCATATTAGGATAAGGAACACCATCAGTTTTGTGTTCTGTCATGTACAGGTTAGGTTAGGTAAGGTTTTTCAGGAAAGGGGACAAGCATTTCCTGACACAAGATTCTTACCACTTTAGATTTTATGAAGGGATTCAGGGAAACAGGTTAGCCAGACTTGAGTCCTGGAGGTGGGAAGTACAGTGCCTGCACTCCAAGGAGAGACTAGAGATATTTTCCAGCATTAGAGATTAAAGATGTATACCATTGTGAAAGTTTCCTTTTTGGGTCACCCTGTCTTGGTGGAAGATGGCCAGTGTGTTAATAATAATAATAGTACGTACTTTATTTCCCACATGATACAAAGTTTTTAGAAGCTTGCATGACGTATAATAGTACGCATGGAAAGCCTTTGATTATACAAACAAGCTGAAACTTAGTATGTATAGGACCAATAGAACTTATTAAACATTGCTCAAACTGTAAATATGATGGTATACAATTTTGACAAGTTGATAAGACATGTGCAACAGTTGGGTGTCTTTATTTCAAAATGTTTTGCCTACACATTAGGCTTTTTCAGTGGAATGAAGAGGGGGCAGCAAAAGCAGTAGAGATGTGAAGACAATGTAATCAGTCCATCACTCTCAAAGACGTAGTTTTAAGGTGGTCAGTCCCTTGGCCTGGAGAAGAGTACTGTTCCATACTGTGGAGAACTCTTTCCCAGACTAAGGGACTGACCACCTCAAAACCACATCTTCAAGGATGATGGACTGATTATATCATCTAAACATCTCTACTCCTGCTGCCTCCTCTGTATTCCACTGAAGTAGCCTACTGTGTAAGTGAAATGTTTCGGAATAAAGATACAGTGGAATCTCAAATATCGAACTTTCTTTGGTCCAGAAGGCTGTTCGAGTGCCTTTACCGAATGAATTTATTCCCATGAGGAATAATGTAAATTAGGTTAGTCCATTTCAGACCCTCAAAAATACACTTATAAAAGCACTTACAAAAATACACTTACATAATTGGTTGTGTTGGGAGCAGTTCTATTTTTGAAGTTCCACTGTACCTAAATGTTGAACATGTGTCTTACTTATTGTTCAAGCTCTTCATGTCTGAAGTGTGCCATGCTCTTTTGCCTGCACAGAAGCCCAGTCTCCAGTCCCTTGTAAGGAAAAAGATAAATCTCCGTGGAGAAAAAGCAATTTGAATGTCGCCAACTCCAGTGAAGCAACCCGGGAGGACACGCCGGCAGCCTCCTCCACCTCCACTATTTCTGCAGCCCCGTCCACATCCGCTCGAAGACTCCGCAGGTTGAGGTCCAGGTCAAACATAGAGCCCGGCCAGGTTGTCCAGGCGGTTCAGGTATGTCAACTCCAAGTAAGGTGCCCCAGTGTTGGTAAATGGCTTTTGATTCAAGGAATTGGAGTTACCCTCTTTCCCGTGGATGAAACGTGATTATTCACTGCCACTCCCATTTCCCGGGCACTGTGTGACCCTTATAGGTTTAGCACTTTAAAATAATAATAATAGTGATAAAATGTAATAATCATAAATTATAATAGTAATAATGATATATTACTACTTAATAATAATAATAATAATAATAATTTGTAATAATAATGATAAAATATAATAGTAATAATAATAATATTAAAATATAATAATAATAAATATAATAATGATGGTCAATTTTTTTTTTCTTTGGGTTATCCTGCCTTGCTAGGATATAAATGTTGCATTGAAAAAAAAAATCTTAAAAAGAATAACAATAAGATATATTTGAACTTACCAAAGCAAGAGAGATTTTTCCATGCTGCATTTGTGATGTATTTCGAATGATATTGAAGACGGCTGTAAAATTTACAACAGTTGTTGATGACGTTGCTGACTGCTCGTTGCACAGCAAGGAGGATGTGCCCAATTTTACACAAATATTTAGCTGCTACCATATTACTATTATAATTGTAGTTTTAATTGTGTAATTTATTACTGTCGTTAAAATTTCTAAGAATAGATTTTCAACTCTTACAGTTTCTTCATTATTTTTTATATCAAATGTAGTTCTTGACCGACCACAGTAAGTTCTCGCCTTACAAAACACATCGAGAATCTCCTGTATTGTGTATAATATCATTATTGTATACAATATTATTATTGTATCATTATAATACACAAAACAGAATGTCTCCAACACATTCTTAAGTTGAAGACTTCCTATATGTACTATAAATCTTTCATCTTTCAACACACCGGCCGTATCCCACCAAGGCAGGGTGGCCCAAAAAGAAAAACGAAAGTTTCTCTTTTAAATTTAGTAATTTATACAGGAGAAGGGGTTACTAGCCCCTTGCTCCCGGCGTTTTAGTCGCCTCTTACAACACGCATGGCTTACGGAGGAAGAATTCTGTTCCACTTCCCCATGGAGATGTACTATAAATATTGTACACAATTCAGGAGGTCCACAGTGTGCAAGTCAAGGGAGGACTTAGTGTATTACTTCTTCTATCAACACACTGGCAGTATCCCACCCAGGCAGTGTGACCCAAAAAAAAAAAATGGTTTCTCTTTATAAATTTAGTAATGCATACAGGAGAAGGGGTTACTAGCCTCTTGTTCCTTACTGTATTACTGTGGTTATTTTTTTGAAAACATTGCTAGCTAATTCTTCAAGATGTTATAACAAATACATTGGATCCCCGCTTTATGATCACCTCCCAATGCAACCAATTATGTAAGTGTTTTTATGTATGTGCGTTTGTACGTGTATGTTTGGGGGTCTGAAATGGACTAATCTAATTCACAATATTTCTTATGGGAACAAATTCGGTCAGTACTGACACCTGAACATACTTCTGGAATGAAATAATATCATAAACCGGGTCCACTGTACCGCAGTCAGTTCCTCAAAATACTCAGGCTTATTTTGCAATTGCTATTAAAAAAAATGCATCCAAAATTGAATAGCACTTTAAAAGGCTTTCATGTTATGTGGTAATTAATTTTTTGGTGGACTTTTGCAATTGCATTTGCAAAAATAAAAAAATTGCACTGTAAAGAATGACTTTATAAGAGAGGTCACTGTACAGTTTCCTTAATATTATTTCTTGCTGCCATCAGTATTAATAACCAGATTGTTACATAGATAGTGTAAAATAAAAGAATATAAAAATGGTAGAAATAATATAAAATAAAATGGGAAAAAAAGACATACACAGTTTTACTGAGGTGACATTTTAATATGAATAGCTTCTTAACCCTTTCACTGTTTCGGTCGTATATATACATTTTACGAGCCAATGTGTTTGACATATATAAACTTAAAAATTCTAGCGGCTTCAAATCGAGCAGGAGGAAGCTGGCAGGCCCACATGTGAGAGAATGGGTCTGTATGGTCAGCATGCACCACATAAACAAAATTCTGCAACACGCAGTGCATAATGAGAAAAAAAACTGTGTTTTTGGATTAAAACGCCGACTTTGAGGTGTATTTCCTTATAGTTTTTATGGTTATATTCTCGTTTTCGTAGTCACATTTGATAGAATGGAAAACATATTATAGAAATAGAGGTGATTTTGATTGGTTTTACTATGAAAAGGACCTTGAAATGGAGCTCAAAGTAAGGGAAATATTTGATTTTTGCCGATGTTCAAGAGCAAACAAATGATGTTATTGTCCAATAAATGTCCAACTAGCCATTCTAATATGCAGTCATGAATGGGTTGATATTATTTATACAATTATTACAATATTGCAGTAGTCTGCATAACAGTAAATCTTCTATTTCTTGTTAGAATAAAAATTCAAAATAGAAAGCAAGAGTAATATCAGAGGGGCCTGGAGATGTGACTGATGAACAAAGAAAATGTTATTTTAGAGCCAGGAATGTCTGCATTGTTCATTCTGGACCCTATTTTGAAATTGGCATATTTTTTTAATTTGTGTGAAATTGGCCAAATTGCCAATTTCTGACCACTTTATTGGGCAGTTAAAATCAGTAAATGGGCAGTTTCTTGTACTCAATCAATAGAACAAATAGAGTTCTAAATAAATAATTATGAGTTTGGTCGACTAGAACAATGGAACTAGCTGAAAATAGGGCTCAAAGTGGGCAAAATTGCTGATTCATAAATATTGCCAAGGTCGCTAACTTTGCAAGAGCGTAACTACATAAGTTTTCCATCAAATTTCGTACTTTTGGTGTCATTACCACCAGGAAAAGATTCGCTATCATTTTATAAGTTTTTTTTTTTTTTCAAATATTTTGCAACACCAGGAGACGCCTAAGGATTTGGGGTTGTGACATTCAAAGGGTTAAGTTGTTTGCTCAGTAAAACATGCCCAGTATTGGACATGTCTTATTTTGGAATATTGAGACTGCCATTGTGTTAAAAGAGCTGGTACAAACGAGATTCAGGGGAAATTGCATTAACGTAATTGCAAATGAATCCCCAACCGATCTGTGATTAGCACAAACAGTGCAGTTGAAGGTGCTGTCTTTGCAGGGCATGGAAGATGAGGTAGACAACGCCAGCAGACGCTCATCTCTCATTCAGACGCTGGGGCGCAACGACTCACAAGATACACTCAAGCTCTACATCCGTCGACCGTCTCACGACGAGCACAAAGGTTCACCCATAAACACTACTAGTTAGTGTCACTTTCAAGAAGCCAAAATCTTTTTTTTAAACTTTTACTGATCTTTTATTTATAATAGGAATTCTTTTGGCTTTTGACACATCAGTTATATTATTTTTATCTAGCTACCCCTGTTTTTTTGTATTAATCCATACTGAAAATTCTACTATTTTCATCTACTTCTCTTTTTTCACATTAATGCATATCAAAAATTGTACTACAGTAGGACCCCTGTATCCACAGGGGATGCATTCCCCTGCCGTGGATACCGAAACCATTGATAGTAACAAACCCCGTGTACAAGTCCTACACTTTTTAATTTTAGTAATGTATACAGAAGGTGTTACTAGCCCCTTGCTTCCTGCATTTTAGTTGCCTCTTACGACATGCATGACTTACGGAAGAAGAATTTTGTCCCACTTCCCCATGGAGAAGTCCTATACATACCTATTATAAAGTTTAATAGATAAATTATGCACAATAAGTGGAAAATTATTACTTTTTTACTGATGGGAAACACTTAATGGCATCTCTACTTTTGCACTTTGGGGCCATTATTATGCAAAAAAAAAAAAAAAAAAATTTGGTCCAATGTAAACCTTGGATAACTGAACCTGGATACCAAATCAGTGGATACAGGGGTCCTACTGTATTTTCATCTGACTATGTCTCTTTTTTTTGTATTAATGCATACTTAAAATTGTACCATTGTTCACTTAGCTGCCTCACTTTTAGTACGTTAAAAATAAATAAAATTATTACTCAGGTTACTGAGTCTGGTTTTAACCCTTATACTGTCCAAACGTAGATCTACGTTTGCACGCATAGTGCTCCGACCTTGATTCTCCCCATAAGAATGTAAAAAAAACTGTAGATTTACATTCGGAGCACTACGCGAGTGAACTTAGATCTACGTTTGGACAGTTTAAGGGTTACGTAGTGTGTCAACATTAGAATCAGTCTGCCTGAAATGCTCCATAAGCTAGTGGCTTTCTTTGTTTACATGTAAACTACATTTTGTATACTGTAGAAAGAAATAAAACGGTTTGTTTAGTAAAAAATACTGCAGCCAAAATTTCACTCTGGGGGAAAACTTAATCAAGAACTTCGAACTTTCAAGTTCAGATTCAAATTTTTTTTTTTTTTAACACACCAGCCGTTTCCCACTAAGGCAGGGAGGCCTGAAAAAGAAAAACCTTCATCATCATTCACTCCACCACTGTTTTATTCAATACAAAAATAATATAGTTTTCTTGTAATAAAACATTACTGGGCACAACAGAAAGCCACTAGTAAGCGATGCATTTTGGGCAAACTAATCTTGGGGGCTTAAGCCACAATTTCAGTATGGGGATTTTAAGCCAGGCTTTCATTCTGGGGTTTTTGGCTATTATTTATTGTGGGAGAGGCTTAATAATCACAAGATCTTGAGAAATACAATACGATTTTGAGTGTGACTGTGAAATTTCATAAACTTTCGTGGTAACTGGTAATGTAACAGTAAAAATTAACCATTAACTGAACAAAAAAAAAAACGCACCTTAATTTTTATTGTTTGAAATGTTTCACCTGCTTAGTAGGCTTCTTGAGTCAAATACCAAGGTAGTACTAAAGGTGTAATATTAACCCTTAAATGGTCCAAACGTATATATACGTTTTTTCAACATTTAAAAGTATGTAAAAAAATGCAGATCATCTTTTTTTTTTTCATTTGAAAATGTGTAAAAAAAAGTCTACGTTTGTTTTTTTGTTATGTTCGAAAATATGTAAAAAAAACGTAGATCTACCGATCTGTTTGGACCGTTTAAGGGTTAAAGGTGTAGTAAAGGTGAAGCTGGAGCCTTTTTCAGCCTTCAGCTTCATATCGTTATAGACTATAGAGTTGAACTCTTCTCCAGGCTGAGCGGCTGACCACCTCAAATAATATTTCTTCAAAGCTGATGGACTGATTCCATCATTTTTACTTTACTACTACACCTGCTGCCTCTGTATTTGTCCAAAAAAGCCTACAGTAAAGATACTCAACTTCTGTACATGTGTCTTACTCATTAACTTGTCAGTATTTTCTACCATTTTCAACACAAGTACATTGAGCTTTGTCTTGGTACAGAAAGTGGCAATAGCACGGATAAAGATGGCGACCTTCTCAAGGAGAACCCTCCTCGTCGTGGGTCGGCCCCCGCAGCCTCCCCGCGAGAGGACTCCTCCATCAGTAGGTCAGAGCAGCTCCTCCAGAAGTACCGACACTCGGTTGATGTTTCTGCTGACGTCCTTCGTTCTATAGAGCAGGTTAGGATTGGTCTGTTGTTAAGGATTTATTTATATATTTTGTATTAACGTTTTGTAACTAATTTGCCAAAAATCCACACATGGGAGACGAACCTTATGGTGACATTTTGGTCCATCCAGGACTATTGTCAAGTTTTCTAATATGAAAACTATTAATTAAAGATAATTTTATCAATTTTGTACATCCTTATAATATTATTAATATTGTACAATTCATACAGCACTGAGGTGGTTCAAGTTGTAAGGGTTGAATTGAGAGGTAGTGAAGGTGCAAGATTAACATCATAGTTGGTGCAGTAGGTTAGTTTTTATTAAAACAACCATGAGCAAAGTCTGTGTTAAAGATGGGACTCTTCGATAGGAGGGCAGATGCATTGTATCAGAGCATTTAAGGTGTGAAAAGTGAATTTTTTGTGATAGAATTGTTTACCAATGTATGGTATGCTGTTACTGCCTCCTGGGTGCTCTCACTGAGAGGTACTGGTTGTTACAGCCTCCTGGGTGCTCTCACTGAGAGGTACTGGTTGTTACAGCCTCCTGGGTGTTCTCACTGAGAGGTACTGGTTGTTACAGCCTCCTGGGTGCTCTCACTGAGAGGTACTGGTTGTTACAGCCTCCTGGGTGCTCTCACTGAGAGGTACTGGTTGTTACAGCCTCCTGGGTGCTCTCACTGAGAGGTACTGGTTGTTACAGCCTCCTGGGTGCTCTCACTGAGAGGTACTGGTTGTTACAGCCTCCTGGTGCTCTCACTGAGAGGTACTGGTTGTTACAGCCTCCTGGGTGCTCTCACTGAGAGGTACTGGTTGTTACACCCTCCTGGGTGCTCTCACTGAGAGGTACTGGTTGTTACAGCCTCCTGGGTGCTCTCACTGAGAGGTACTGGTTGTTACAGCCTCCTGGTGGCTCTCACTGAGAGGTACTGGTTGTTACAGCCTCCTGGGTGCTCTCACTGAGAGGTACTGGTTGTTACAGCCTCCTGGGTGCTCTCACTGAGAGGTACTGGTTGTTACACCCTCCTGGGTGCTCTCACTGAGAGGTACTGGTTGTTACACCCCTCCTGGGTGCTCTCACTGAGAGGTACTGGTTGTTACAGCCTCCTGGGTGCTCTCACTGAGAGGTACTGGTTGTTACAGCCTCCTGGGTGCTCTCACTGAGAGGTACTGGTTCTTACAGCCTCCTGGGTGCTCTCACTGAGAGGTACTGGTTGTTACACCCTCCTGGGTGCTCTCACTGAGAGGTACTGGTTGTTACAGCCTCCTGGGTGCTCTCACTGAGAGGTACTGGTTGTTACAGCCTCCAGGGTGCTCTCACTGAGAGGTACTGGTTGTTACACCCTCCTGGGTGCTCTCACTGAGAGGTACTGGTTGTTACAGCCTCCTGGGTGCTCTCACTGAGAGGTACTGGTTGTTACAGCCTCCTCGGTGCTCTCACTGAGAGGTACTGGTTGTTACAGCCTCCTCGGTGCTCTCACTGAGAGGTACTGGTTGTTACAGCCTCCTGGGTGCTCTCACTGAGAGGTTCTGGTTGTTACAGCCTCCTGGGTGCTCTCACTGAGAGGTACTGGTTGTTACAGCCTCCAGGGTGCTCTCACTGAGAGGTACTGGTTGTTATACCCTCCTGGGTGCTCTCACTGAGAGGTACTGGTTGTTACAGCCTCCTTGGTGCTCTCACTGAGAGGTACTGGTTGTTACAGCCTCCTGGGTGCTCTCACTGAGAGGTACTGGTTGTTACAGCCTCCTGGGTGCTCTCACTGAGAGGTACTGGTTGTTACAGCCTCCTGGGTGCTCTCACTGAGAGGTACTGGTTGTTACAGCCTCCTGGGTGTCTCACTGAGAGGTACTGGTTGTTACAGCCTCCTGGGTGTCTCACTGAGAGGTACTGGTTGTTACAGCCTCCTGGGTGCTCTCACTGAGAGGTACTGGTTGTTACAGCCTCCTGGGTGCTCTCACTGAGAGGTACTGGTTGTTACAGCCTCCTGGGTGCTCTCACTGAGAGGTACTGGTTGTTACAGCCTCCTGGGTGCTCTCACTGAGAGGTACTGGTTGTTACAGCCTCCTGGGTGCTCTCACTGAGAGGTACTGGTTGTTACAGCCTCCTGGGTGCTCTCACTGAGAGGTACTGGTTGTTACAGCCTTCTCGGTGCTCTCACTGAGAGGTACTGGTTGTTACAGCCTCCTGGGTGCTCTCACTGAGAGGTACTGGTTATTACAGCCTCCTGGGTGCTCTCACTGAGAGGTACTGGTTGTTACAGCCTTCTCGGTGCTCTCACTGAGAGGTACTGGTTGTTACAGCCTCTCTGGTGCTCTCACTGAGAGGTACTGGTTGTTACAACCCTCCTGGGTGCTCTCACTGAGAGGTACTGGTTGTTACAGCCTCCTGGGTGCTCTCACTGAGAGGTACTGGTTGTTACAGCCTCCTGGGTGCTCGCACTGAGAGGTACTGGTTGTTACAGCCTCCTGGGTGCTCTCACTGAGAGGTACTGGTTGTTACAGCCTCCTGGGTGCTCTCACTGAGAGGTACTGGTTGTTACAGCCTCCTGGGTGCTCTCACTGAGAGGTACTGGTTGTTACAGCCTCCTGGGTGCTCTCACTGAGAGGTACTGGTTGTTACAGCCTCCTGGGTGCTCTCACTGAGAGGTACTGGTTGTTACAGCCTCCTGGGTGCTCTCACTGAGAGGTACTGGTTGTTACAGCCTCCTGGGTGCTCTCACTGAGAGGTACTGGTTGTTACAGCCTTCTCGGTGCTCTCACTGAGAGGTACTGGTTGTTACAGCCTTCTCGGTGCTCTCACTGAGAGGTACTGGTTGTATTTCCATATGGATTACATTTTTGGCCAATTAGTAAATATGTAATTACAGTTTCCCCACTTGATAGCAATGAGAAGGTGGTCTGGAACCCAATTGCAGTTTGACAGAACACAATTTATTGCCCTTTAACTGAGATCACTGCTGTTGCCAGTGGTTTTGAAGTCTCTGGAACAGTACTGGACAATAGTTGAAACTTTCTTGTGGAAGATTGGGAAATTGTGAATAACAGAGAGCGTAGCTGCATCTACATGTTCGGTACCCTGACAGAGCATTAGTGTGCCCAGGGACCCAATAAAAAATGATTTCTTTGTATTTGTTAACAAATTTGACATGACCATTGTCGTATATAAGAAGCACAATGAGATGTGGGGGAGTCGTGGTTCTGGATAGAATATAATTCACTGTGAGAGTCAAAGAGCAATGAATGAGTATGTTGACAAGGGTGTAAAAAAAATGTTGGCTGGTGCTTATAAATGTCATTGAATTGTCAGTAGCATATAGCCATTAATGTATAGCCACTAGTGTCACTGCTCAGGAATGTCAGGGTCACTGATGTTGACCTCCAGTTCAAGAGCTCCTTGCTTGCCCATGGTGTATAGCCATCAGTTACCCTGTAGGCATCTGGCTGAGAGGATACACACAGGATATGGTGGCAGAAGGCAAGACTTTCTCATCAATAAATCCAGTGCAGAGTAGTTGTGTATCACTCCACCACACCACTTGTTCAAACCCTAAACCTCACAATAGATAGTGGCATGTGAACTACTCCATTTACATTCACAGCCACATACTCTATTCCATCCGAGGAATTGGGACAATCATCGTACACTGTCAAAGCCTGAGAATGTGACTGAATGACTACATTTTGGTCCATCCTAAACAGTGTTCCATGATGGACTGAAATACAGTGGACCCCCGGTTTACGATCAGCTCCCAATGCGGCCCATTATGTAAGTGCGTTTGCATTTGTATGTTTGGGGGTCTGAAATGGACTAATCTAATTCACAATATTCCTTATGGGAACAAATTCAGTTAGTACTGGCACCTGAACATACTTCTGGAATGAAATAATATCGTAAACCGGGGGTCCACTGTATCATAAGGTTCCTCTTCTGAATGGGTCTTTTTGTGAGGTCTTCCAGTTATGGTATGATTTTTTTTATTCTTTATTGAAAGTGTTCAAGGAAGAGTGAGTGCAAGTTTGTAACAGGCAAAATTCTCTGAATAAATTTTACTTCTAAGTTTTTTTATTTTCAGTATTTATTGCTCAAACTTTTAGAAAGTGTGTGTGAGTGTGTTAGATAGGAGTGAATGGAGACGAATGGTTTTTGGGACCTGACGAGCTGTTGGAGTGTGAACAGGATAATATTTAGTGAAGGAATTTAGGAAAACTGGTTAACTGGACTTGAGTCCTGGAGGTGAGAAGTACAGTGTCTGCACTTTAAAGGAGTGGTTTAAGATATTGGCAGTTGGGAGGAACATCTAAACTGTTGTATCTGAGCGCCTCTGCAAAGACAGTGATTACGTATGAGTGATGGTGAAAGTGTTGAATGATGATGAAAGATTTTTCTTTCTTTCTGGGTTTTTCTTTTGTTTTGGGTCACCCTGCCTTGGTGGGAAATGTTAAAAAAAAATATGTAAATTGTGTGTACAGTACTATAGTACACCTACCATCCGACTTACGACCTGCTCGACTTACGACCACTCGACTTAGGACCGTGTTTTTTATGCCAAATTTCTGGGAAATAAACAAGTATTTGTGTTGTACACAGTGTTTATCCTAATCCTTACAGTATAAAATACAGTACTAACAACATAAAAAGTAAAGTAAAACATGAAATACCAAAATAAAACAATAAAATAAAGTAATTACAAAAATGTTTTGTTGATATTCAGTAGTAAAGTTCGACTTACGACCATTTCGACTTACGACCGGTTTCTCGGAACCGAACTCGGTCGTAAGTCGGATGGTAGGTGTATTAGATAGTAGAGTATTTTAGTGCAAAGGACATATATGCAGCTTTTTTATTGTGGCAGCATTTTGCTCTCCAAAAGCTTTGTTAAACTGTAATTTGACAAAGCTCCTGGAGAGCGAAATGTTGCCACAATAAAATATCACATTAGTTGCATTTGTGTCCTTTTATGTGACATTGTTGGTAATTCTATACTAATAATAATAATAATAATAATATATTTTGACATAATACATATACATGTATGTACAAAGTAGTATAATAGTTGGGTGTACAAGCCAAAATCCCCTTTATATGCAGAGCATTTTGGGCAAACTTAAAATTAACTTAAGATTAATAAGGCAATAACAACATATACGGTCAGTAGATGAGTTACAATGAATACAAGAGACTTAAGTATTGTATTAAATCATGCTCTATGGCTTTAATAAGTCTTGTAGAGAAACGTACATTTTTGATAGCTAATCTTAGGTGGATACAATGGAGTGATTAACATTTGAGATGAATACAGATATTGAGAGCAAGTATACAGTGGACCCTCAACCAACGATGGCACCGTCTAACGTTAAATCCGACTAACGATACATGTTAACGTTAACATGTTGCCTCGACTAACGCTAAAAAAACTCGACTAACGATATTCGTACTCGGGGTACCAATTAATATCGTTAGTTGAGGGTCCACTGTATATTGATTATATTGTTGAAAAAGTTTGATCTGTGTTTGTGATATTGAGCAAATGCATGTATAATTTTTACATATGTATTTATGATGCTACTTTCATGCATTTTGTTGCTATTTTTTAACCGTGTTCTGATTTAACACTTGGACAATCCCTCAGTTAATCCATTAAATCGAGAGTTTACTGTATCTCTTTAAATATTACTCTGAGCTAGTTTATGCTGACATTACAAACTGAAGGAAAAATTAGATGTGGATGTGGAAAATTCATGGAACACATTTGATGAAAATCCTATGGATGGGTTGTCCATCTAAGTGTCATATGCCAAATCAAAAGAAAGTGTGGCACTTGGCCAGAGAAATATAATATAATTTTGCATTATAATTTTTTCTCAGATTTATAGAATAGTTTTTTTTTTCATGCAATCATGTGGTACTTGTTTGGTAAGCTTATATTTTTTAGGCAAATGTCCATCAAAATTTTGTGTATACGAAGTTTCAAAATATATCTGTTTATTTTACATGTTGTGTTGGGTTTGCTTTATGCAATTTTTGCTTTATGCAATTAACAATAATGCAATTGTTATTGTCAGGCTGAGTCATCACCTGGCCGTGGTAGCGAGGAAAGCCGTCGAGAGAAACGAGCTTACCAACGTACCATGACACCTTCCAGCCTGCGTTCAGCTCTTCAACAGCGCCTCAAGGACAACCTTCAAGCGGTACACTTGGCTGGAACCATCCGTTCATTAGGGGACGAAGCTACCGATCAACTGGATGAGGAGGATGAAGATGAGGAGACAGGATCAAAAGGAGAAAACAAAGAACAAAAATTACTGCCACCTTCGATACCTCGCCATCTCCGTAGACCTTCCCGTGAAGAAGGCAAGTTGGATAAGATAGAAATTGATGCCGAAAACATTGAAACACCACCAGTAACCCGAAGAGCATTCGGGATGAGAAGTTTCCGTTCACCTTCTGACTCTCGGTGGATTAATTCTGGCCAGGAGGAAAGTGAGGATCTTGATGAGCGACGAGTAGGTCGCCGGTTTCGTAACCTAACAAGCGAGGACCATCGTGTTCCCATTAAAGAGAAAAATTTGCCAGATGGAGAAGGCATCAGGCAGCGTCTCCACTCAGGAATAGATAGCTCGGAAAATGAGGGAGCCGGTAGTGAAGTTGAGGAACGGGGAACAGCACGGCGATCTCAGCGTTTCAAGCGTTTGGCTGATCTTGCAAAGGATGGTGATAGTGAGACAGAACAGATGCTTGCTAAGCAGAAAGATCGTCCACCATCTATAGCCGATGATGATGGCCTCGGGGATGGCAATTTTGAACGCTTTTCATCAATTCGTAAAACACTGAGACATAAAAAGTTGCAAGATAAACCCGAGTTGAAACCAAGTGAAGTTCATACAGAAACAGATACCCGGAACGGAAGCCTCAGTGTTCCCCAGGAAAACCCAACCTCTCCAGAGAGTTCTGTAAAAAGTGTTAGAGCATCTCAAGAGCACTGTACTCCTTGTGAAGAGTCCACTGTAGATAAGGTTCATACTAATATTCAGCAGGCAGAGACGAGTGATATAATGCAGGAAAGCTTTGAGGATAAAGATACTCGGCTGAAACGATGGCAGCGTATCAAAGAGACAAAAACAGACAATGAAGATCACGGAGGTAAGTCTCGAGAGGCAGATTCGTGGAAGGATCGTCTTACTCGGCGTTTCCGCTCCAGTGTAGATAAATATGATGTTCACCGGGCCATGGATGACCGCAGTAGCAAGAGTGCGAAGGATGAACTTAAGCCTCCATCGTCAGAAAGACTGTATCGTAAAAATAAGGATAGTGTCGCTCGAGGACTAGAGACTAGAGGCTCTTTTAGAGTCACAAGTGGAACTAGCGATGCAAGAAAAGACCGCAGAGAACGTACACGCAGTGCTATTGATCCTTCTCAAGTCCGCCAAGCTTTGGACAAGGATAAAGAAAAGGATAAGAAGCGATCAGTGTTTGGTGACCCATCTCGGGGAGTCGGGAAGTTATTCTCCAAGCTGGAAAGTAAAGAACCTTCAGGTCTGCGTCGTGGTGAAGCACGGACAAGGTCTCTCTTAGATACACGAACAAGGAATCGCATTCGAGGTACCTCCACAACTAAGGATGTTGATGAAGGATTTGAGGACACTGGTAGCATCAAGTCAGAGACAACGAGCCAGGGAGCATCTTCTACTGGTGATGTACCAGATGCCACATTGGAGAAAACACAAGGGACCTCATCAGTATGTACAAATATTCATAATGATATGAAAATTGAAAGCCAAATTGGAAGTTTTAGGCATCGGCCAGAAGAGCGCAATAGTTTAAGCGCCTCGAAAAGAAATGAGAAGTCAGGTTCCCGCTCCAGTCTTCGATCTTCTCGCTCTTCTTTGACCTCTGCAGCTTCAGTGAATACTGTGCGACCTGCAAAGCCTCCTTCAAAGTCACCCAGTACTGCCAGTGTGATAAGTAATAAATCTGACTCCAGTAGCCGGGCTCGTGGTAAAATTAATGACTACACGTCTGCTCTCAAAAGTTTGACCTTCAAAAGTTTACGAATGAACTGTGGTAATGAGGAGGGTTTCAGGACCACTCAAAGCTCTCCCTGCAGCCCTAAGGGTGAAGAGGGCCAACCTTCATTCCCAGATGACCGCACAAGATCATCAGGTTCTCTTCACAGTTCTGGAGGAGTTACTCCAACTCGCCCACTTTCTCGGGCTGATTCTACACGGTCTACTGGTTCCCTCAGTAAACAATCAAGTGAAGGTTCTCTGATGCGTGGCACCACACAAAATACTAAGTCATCTGCACGCATTATCACTAATAACAACAATCGAACCAAACGTGTCCTTGCTCCTGCTCAGGTTCGCACTCTTACTACAGCTGACAATCGTAATCGAAGTATAAGTGGCTCAAGTGGGTCTCTGCGTAAGTCACCGGGATCCACACCCAATTCTTCAGTTAAAGTAAAACGTGGAGATTCTGGAAGTTCAAAGGAGAATCTATCCCGCTCCAATTCTGGCAACAGTCGGGCTGGCGGCACCTCCCGCTCTACTCCTCGCTCCACCACATCACCATCAAAACCTCTTGCTGAGCGTTCATCCAGTTTCCGTGCTTCACCGCCCAAACCAGAACTAGGATCAAGAAGATCTACCAGCAGTACCTCAAACAAGAGCATCTCTCCAAGGAAAGGAGGAAATCTCCCAGCATTCATGCGTCCTACCACATCATCATCTTCGAAGGTCAGCGCCTCTGATGCACCACCGTCAACAACCCCAATTAAAAAAGTGAAGGTCGTGTCACGTAACATAACACTTGCTACACCTCGTCCGATGGTTAAATAAACACCCTATAGTCTTTAAGTACTATAAGTTCTCTGTGGACAGAGAATATTTTCCCAAACTACAGTGGACCCCCGGTTAACGAACTTTTTTCATTCCAGTAGTATGTTCAGGTGCCAGTACTGACCGAATTTTTTCCCATAAGGAATATTGTGAAGTAGATTAGTCCATTTCAGACCCCCAAACATACACGTACAAACACACTTACATAAATACACTTACATAATTGGTCGCATTCGGAGGTAATCGTTATGCGGGGGTCCACTGTATATCCTGTTAACTGGAATATTTCAGAAATAGACATATGGAACAGTCCTTCATGTGTAAAGTGCTTGCCCATGTGGAAATATTATAAATTTATTATAAATATGAGGCAGGTATTGGAACTGCTGCTCCTCAATACAGGAAGGCCCCTCATATACAGCACCTTCTTTTAGTGTTCCACATTTTTATTGGCTTCAAATTGAGCCATTGTTCATTATGATCCATTCGTTGGTGATTGTCACCAGTGGGTGGAAAAATTGCTCAGTTGAAAGCCAGTGACAACACGGAACACCAAAAATGCCATATTTTATGGAGAACAAGATGCTCCAGTGTCGAGAATGCCTTCCTCAATTCGCTGGATAAATTTACAAGACTTGTTTATGAAAAAATAGTGTCTTTGATGCCATAAAATACAGTAGGTGCATTGTATACAGGGGGCCATCCTGTATAGAGTTGCCTGGACCTGTGAACCTGTGTGCCATGATTGTCTTAGTGTGTGCTTCCCAACACTCCCTCAAGGCTCACTCACCCTCGCTCGCACAGAAAACGTGAAGTGGACCCTATGTTGTACACAAAGCTTTGTATATAGTCAAGCCACGGAACGGGTGAGGTTTGAACCCTGGGCCAGTGAGTCATACAGCTCCAGGCCTTTAGTTGTATGACTCACCTATTCCATTGCTTGTTTGCAGTTGTGTCATTACGATTTCAAGATTCGTTTCATATAGTGTTTTTTTTATGTAAATGCAATCGAAAAACTACATTCAAAATTGAATAGCACATGGAAAGACCTTCATATTGCATGCTATTCAATTTTTTATTTGCTTTTTTGACCACATTTACAAAAATCACAGCCCTTGTGGCTTAGCGCTTCTTTTTGATTATAATAATAATAATAATAATACAAAAATCACACCATATAAAGTTCTATTAAATAGCCTATTGTATTAATTTGTATACAATACTGTATTGCTATTGTGTATGAGATTATTTTTATTATTATTATATTAGGCAAAAGCAGTAAGTTTATTAGGGTCAAAAAACACCTTGGGTATGGGAGGTAATCAGGGTTGATCTGAGAAAGGGTAGAGTAGGTCTGATTCCTTGGATGAAGAGCCCTTTAGCATCAGAGGATCCCCCCTGAAGGGAGCTGTATGTGGGAGATTAACCCGTAAACGGTCCAAACGTATACAGTGGACCCCCGCATAACGATGGCATCACATAGCGATTATTTCGCATACCGCTTACTTTAATCGCAAAAATTTTGCCTCACATACCGCTTAAAAACCCGCTTACCGATTTTCGTCCGAGAAGCGGCCTGAGCCACGCTCACATGTTCCGCCGGTGGCATTGTTTACCAGCCAGCCTCCGCGGTAACATCCAAGCATACAATCGGAATATTTCGTATTATTACAGTGTTTTCGGTGCTTTTTCTGGAAAATAAGTGACCATGGGCCCCAAGAAAGCTTCTAGTGCCAACCCTACAGCAATAAGGGTGAGAATTACAATAGAGATGAAGAAAAAGATCATTGATAAGTATGAAAGTGGAGTGCATGTCTCCGAGCTGGCCAGGTTGTATAATAAACCCCAATCAACCATCGCTACTATTGGTGGTACAGCTGCTGCTGCTGCTGCACTGTCAGCTGCTGCTGCTGCTGTAGCACCGTTGTTGGTGTGGCTTATTGAGAATACCAAGAAACAATTAACCCCAGAGGATTTGCCACCCAGGATAACCCAAAAAAGTCAGTGTCATCGAAGACTGTCTAACTTATTTCCATTGGGTCCTTAATCTTGTCTCCCAGGATGCAACCCACACAAGTCGACTAACACCCAGGTGAACAGGGAAAAATGCCTGGAACTAGTGCTCATATTGGTGAATTTAAAGCCAGCAAAGGTTGGTTTGAGAGATTTAAGAATCGTAGTGGCATACACAGTGTGATAAGGCCTGTTCTGGAAGAAAATGCCAAACAGGACCTACAGTACTCAGGAGGAAAAGGCACTCCCAGGACACAGTGTCTCATCAGTCATTGCTGCATCTTCAATAAAGGTAAGTGTCATTTATTCTTCATTTAGTAGACTAGTACATGCACAATATATACTGTGCATGTACTACTCTACTATTGTGCATGTATCCTTCTCTTTGTGTGTGGGAAAATGTATATTTCATGTGGTAAAATTTTTTTTTTTCATACTTTTGGGTGTCTTGCACGAATTAATTTTATTTCCATTATTTCTTATGGGGAAAATTCATTCACATAACGATTATTTCGCATAACAATTACCCCTCTTGCACGGATTAAAATCGTTAACCGGGGGTCCACTGTATATACGTTTTTTTCAACATTTCAAAGTATGTAAAAAAAGTAGATTTTTTTTTGTTTTTTTTTTTACATTTGAAAATGTGTAAAAAACTTCGATCTACTTTTTTTTTTGTTATAATTGAAAATATGTAAACAAACGTAGATCTACTTTTGTAGCACAACACATGTGAACGTAGATCTGCTTGGACCGTTTACGGGTTAATAGAAGTGCCAACTTAGACCTCATTTTTTTTCCTTTTTGGAAAATATACAAGGAACCAAATACGAACATGCTAACAAACCGTTTTATAAAAGTCCTCTATATAGTGAATTTTTTGCAGATGCAACTGAAAAAGCATATCCTAAATTTACTAGCATATGGAAAGGCCTACATAGTAAATATTTACTATTCATTATACAATACACTTTTTTAATCACATATGCAAAAAATTACACTATACATGTATACAAGAGTTGCATTCCAGTATACCATTTCAAGATATAATTGCCTGTTGAAAGATCAAATAGGTACAGTGGACCCCCACATAATGATATTATTTCAGTCCAGAAGTCTGTTTGGGTGCCTTTATAGACCGAATTTGTTCCCATAAGAGATATTGTGAATTAGATTACTCCGTTTCAGACCCCCAAAAATACACCTACAAAAGCACTTACAAAAATACACTTACATAATTGGTCGAGTTGGGAGCTGAGCATTATGCGGGGGTCCACTGTATTTGTATTTTTCGTAAATCTAAAGCGGGTGATAATTAGGCCATTTTGCTGTAATTACTATTGTAACTGTCAATAAGTGATTCATTTGTGTAATTATATACGTATTAGCTTAATTTAGAAAGAAGTGTACGAAAATCTGTTCGTGCATTCTGTATTTTTTATAAATTTATAATCATGATATCTCTTGCCAGCAGTGACGTTGTGTTTTTCATAATGAAAAATTGGTTTTGTGTTCAGATTCCACACAACTTATTTTAAAGAATTTTAGCCGTAGAATATGTCAACACTGCACAGTGTGAGCATTGTACTCTCACACGTCCCAGTCTGTGATGCCCTACTGTGAATTAAGTCAATACTAGCTCATTATACAATGATGCTGAGTCTGGGAATGACAGGAGGGCCCTGTTTGTACAGCTCTTAGGTTCCCGACCCCACGTGATATGCGAAAATTGCTGGTAGATGAAAAAGTGTGTGTTTTTCAATATTGAATGCATCTAAAATGCCTGATAATGTGTTAACACTCTCATATATTAAGTGCTCAGTACAGCTAGGCATAAAAAAACAAGATAAAAGTAAAATCGATACACATACAATACCTACTTAACCCATAAATGGTCCAAACGTATATATACGTTTTTTCAACATTTGACAGTATGTAAAAAAAGTAGATCTTCTTTTTGTTTTTTTACATTTGAAAATGTGTAAAAAAAACTTTGATCTACTTCTGTAGCACTACACATGTGAACGTAGATCTGCTTGGACTGTTTACGGGTTAAAATATGGCGCCGGTCGCCCTTCACTCATGCAGCTGTTGTGCAAAAATGGCAGAAAAGGGGTAAAAGCGCCAAACATAATGAATGTGGCTGAATTGAAAACCAATGACAACAGGAACATCGAAAAAAGAGAGCTGGGTATGTGGGACCCTCCTGTACTATCATTAACAGAAGAAGCAACCTTAGCATCATTAACCTGTCTCAATTTGGACTTCATTTATTACCATAATTAGTATCCTAAGGTTTTACTCAGTTTATATTGGCTGTCTGCGCCTGGCCATTTAGGCGATTGTACGAACTGTGTTATTTAAATGAGTTACTGTGCCTTGTCCAAGTTAATGTACAGTTATAATGTTAATTTATCGGACTAATGGCTTGCTTTATAGTGTTTGTCGCTGCTGCTGCTGCTGTTCAGTGCCACAATGTCTCTGTTTGCTCTAACATTGTTGTGTATAGGATTCAGCTTTAAAATGAATCGTAGTTTTATACAGTCAGCGCTCTTGTAAAGCTCTTCCACGTGGTGCCGTTATCTGTAAAAGCGATTTAAAAAACAAATACAAAATTGAATAGTGCCTGGAAAAGGCTTTGTAGTACACACACATTCCAATTTTGGATTCACATGTATAGCCGCATTTACACACCAAAAAATAACAGAGCTTTATACAAGATCTTACTGCTTTATAATTTAAGCTACGTAATATTTGTGCTTGCAGTGTCTTCTTGTGTTTAATCTCCACTTAGTGTATAAAATATTCTGTACATAGACCTAATGCATCAGATATACCATGAACACATTCACTGTCATGGATGTTTCTCTCCAAATATATTTAAAAAAAATATCTTAAAATCAGAACACCTACCGAGCCAAGTAGGTTACCAAATGTAGTTTTATCCAATCTGTTTATCATAAGTGCAACTAATGTGACATTTTCTTATGGCAACGTTTCACTCTCCAGGAGCTTTATCAAGCTCCTGGAGAGCGAAACGTTGCCATAAGAAAATGTCACATTAGTTGCACTTGTGTCCTTTTACTTTACATATTGTCGGTAATTCTACCAACTTTATTACAATCTGTTTATCACTACTGGAATTGAGTATTACAATAACACCCATATAAGGCTCTTCAAAAATGCGATTTCTTGTAAATTTGATTGAAGAAATTGCATTGGAAGTTGAATAACTCATACTGTGAAGGCCTTTCCACACGATATTCAATTTTGGACACCATGAACATTCTTTATAAGAGAGCCTATTACATGTACAGCATATATAATTTACTATAGCTTTCACATGTATTTTCAGAATAATCTGTAGGTAAGTTATGATTTCATGAAGGTGCTCGTATCCTGCATGAAGAGTCAGGCATAAATGTTAAACTATTAAGAATGCAGTGTGGCATACCCAGACCTCAGTCATATGTCCTGACTGAAAGGGTTGTACTTAGATGTTTGTCTTTGTAAGTATTCTGTCCATATGTACCATGTTATATATACATATGTACCATGTTATATACATATACATGTATACACTTTTTTGAGACAATTTCCAGTCTTAAAATGCATATATTACCACTTACAAAAAGCAGCAGCTGACCTTACTTGTAAAATATTGACTACTACAGGCCACACATAGATAATTCCATTTTAATCCTACTGAGAAGTTTACTCTTTCATATAACAGATTTGCAATGTGTACAAATCGGAACGGGTGAGGTTTGAATCCATGAGTTCTGAAACTCCAGGCCAGTGCGTTAACCACTGGCCAGCTGGTTCTAATAAGATTTGTCCAGCTAGGTATATTTCTGTACACCATACGGAGGTTAGCATGGGCCACCACTGTGACCACAAATGCACCCGCTCTGTGATTTATTTGCAGTCGTGTTAGTACAATTTCGTGAGCCCAGCTTGTTCAGTAAATTCTTCTATGAAGCTCCTCCATGTGGCGTGATTTTTGGTGAATCCGATTGACAAGTGCATCCAAGATTAAATATTCCTTATTATGAAGGTCTTTCCACATGCTATTCAATTTTTAATGTACTACTTCAATCTCATTTACCCAAAAAAATGATACTATGTAGAGGAGCTTTTGAAGATAGTTGATTAAAATTAATGTCAGTGAAGGATAGCCAGTGTTGGGATGATAAGATAAAATCTGTCTTATCAGACACAAAGACTGGTTAACGATCTTTATTATTAGCCTTTCCTGATCATCTTCAACGTAAGATTTGTAGGATCTTGCATTGCTGATGATCATGGAGGGCAGTGACATCTCATGAGAGAGAGAGTCAGAGGTCGTGGATATGGCAGATTCCTGAGGTCGTGGATATGGCAGATTCCTGAGGTCGTGGATATGGCAGATTCCTGAGGTCGTGGATATGGCAGATTCCTGATCATTTTCAACATAAGAGTTTCAGTCTTACATTGCTGTGAAGGAGTCAGAGGTCCTGGATATGACAGAGTCTAAATCAAATTCCTGTGCTGCAGCTGAAAAGTTTTTTGGTATTTTCCTCTTTACTGACAGATTAAGAATCGATTAGTGCAGCGTGTCACTAATCTATAAAAAATTTGTTGCAGATGTACAGCAGTCATCAGCATTTCCTCAAAAAACTTTGCATCAGTTTTATTGAATAAATATTTATTAACAGTAGGGGCTGCGGGGTTTTCCCTCTGCTCTGTCTCATAATTCTCATATATACACTATGAATATACTTTGTAAAAATATATTCGCTACTGGATATATTTGATGCTTTGTTTTTAATCTGCAAAGTTATATAGTCAGGTTATAATACTTTTGTATTTATTTTGCTAAATACTAATGTTATTTAACTTTAGTGATTAAGCTGAATAATCTTTTTTATTATATACAGCGTCAAAGATAATGTAACTATATAAATTTTTAGAATACAATAAACTATCATTATGACAATGTATAATTTTATTTTTTAAACATTAAATGTTTACTTTCAGCCTTCTTTATTTATACACCAGCGCTCTCTCAATGAGCATTCGTTGTGGGGATTTTTTAATCCCTATACAGTGGTACCTCGGGATACGAACTTAATTTGTTTCAGAAGGCTGTTCGAGTGCCAATACCGAACGAATTTGTTCCCATAAGGAATAATGTAAATTAGATTAATTCATTTCAGACCCCCAAAAATACTTACAAAAAGCCATTACATAAATACAATTACATAATTGTTTGCGTTTTGAGCTGTTCGTATCCCGAAGTACCACTGTATATAAGAATATTCTTGAGATAGTGTAGTAACCCTCAACTCTTGTCTAATGAATCTGTTTGTTATTCCTCTCGTTGCCAGGTTGGGGAGAAGGAGAGTCAGTGACTTTCCCCACTGCCTTGAGAGGTGAGATTTGTGCCAGCAGTGTGCAATGCACCATATCCACTATGCCTGCTTCAGTGACACTGGTATTAGAAAATGAGGCATATTTGTCATTGAATCTTATAACTTTGATGAGTTTTATGAATGTGATGGTAAATGGCGTTCTGATGTATCTCGACTCAACTCGAATATGACCAGAGCTGCAGTAAGATGAGGAGGTAGAAGGATGGAAATACATGTACTGAAAAAGGATGGGAGGATGGAGGAGGGGAGGGTAAGAAAGGTAAGTGGCTCAACCACTTTGGCACAAGTGGTACTGAAGTACCACAGGCGTCAATGGTGATGTGAGAGGGTGGCCAAAATCAGCAGTGAGCATCTGACGAGGCGAGTGAGGTCATATAACAGGAGGCAGGCTGGAGACGGCAGGAAGAGCAGGGAAGGCAGCTGTAGTAGGGCCGACTGGATCTTCTGCTAGGCAGTGAATAGTCGTAAGCTAGTTATGCAACTGAGCCATTGGAGAGATTGTTGAACTTCATTCTTGTGAGATGGCACACTCTGAATGGGATTGTTGGATTCGGTCCTGGATTGTGGAGGTTGTAGAGTATTTCGTCTAGCTCAATGGGTGGTTCTTCGTCCCAGGTGAACTTGACAGTCCCCTCCTGGAGCCTTTGGCTGAGTTCCTGGAGAAACATTGCATTATTGTGTGCTTTTGTAGTGTAGAACTAGACACCTGGCATGTTGAGGAAGGCTGGCTTGGTCATAGAGGTGGGTGAGGTTGGTGATTGGTTGGTGGTGGAAGGTGGAGGTGGTCTCTCATTGGTGGGAGTTGGTGGAGACTCAACATGCAGCGAGGCCTCTGATTGGTGTGTGACAGTGGTGGTGGCTTGAGGCAGAGGTGGTCTCTCATTGGTGGATTCCGAAGTAGAGCAGGTGGCATCTGCAGATAACATATCTTGCAAGTCATCTGGTGCCTCGAAGCTGACGATTTTCAGAATTACTTTCAAAATATCAGCTTAAGGAGCACTAGCTGAAGGCAAGAATTTCATTCATAGATGTGTTGAAAGAACCCGGGTGTTCTGTATTTTGCATGTGTGCATACATCATGCATTAATAAAATTTTGTCGAGATATCGTTTGGTAGAGGAGAGGCGGTGGGTGGTGGAGGCTGCTGAGTGGTTTGTAGAATCTTGCTGGTTGTACACTGAAGCTTGGCTATTGCAGCATAAGTAGGAGAGTTTCCCGTTGTCTTCTTAAGGTCTTCCTTTAGCTTCTTTGAAAGGATCTCCTTACGAACAGGACATTTGGCTGCCAGGGTATGGTGGTCACTCTTACAGTTGATGCAGATGGGAGCAGCAGTAGAGGTGCATGAACGAAAGTCGTGACCTGCAGACCCACAAGTGAAACAGATCGTTTTGTTCTTCACATGACAGTCGGTAGTTGAATGACTGTAGGAGTAGCATGTCCAACAAGGTGTTATATGGCTGAAGTGTTCTGGCTCAATTTGTCGAGGATTGATGAAGTAGTAGGAGATGGCCAGGCCATCAGAGAGCGCTCTGGTTGCCATGTGGATGCCAAGAAACGTGATCTTGAGCATTGAGGAGGCGTTGGGGATCTTCACAACAGAGTCAATCTTGGCCCAGGTGTTTAGGTCTTCAAGTGATGACTTGATATCCTCGGTAGACATGGTTGTGATGTGCCTATCAAGGCGTTACATGAAGACAGGCCGTTTAGCTAGCATGTAAGGCGAGGTGGAGATGGTAAAGCATACACAGCACATGGTGCTGTGTATGCACCATGTGTATGCACCATGTGCTGTGTATGCTCCGAACTTTATCCTGCCTGGTAAATTAGCTAGTAACTAGGTGTTAACAAGGACATTATACAAGTGTACACCTGGGTGTGTTTCTGACAGGTAGCTGCCAAGGAAGTAGTCACCATTATCTTGACCGAGCTTGCATCAAGGCTGCCAGACTCTAGGTAATTAAGCTGATATTAACAAGAGTCAGTTGAGTATATATACAATTAACCATGTTCGCCATCATCGGAGTCCAGTCCTTGGACCAATTATGTACCTCTGTAATCTTTTGACTACCGCCCACAGGATGGGTATGGGGTGCATAAACATATTAAACTAACTAACTAAACTAACGCCATCATTCACCCATTCACTGTCTTGCAAGAAGTGTACTGACAACACAGTTGAGATACCCTTCCAATCTGCAACATTCTCATCCCTCCAAGACTCGAGTCAGGCTTACCAGATTTCCATTCCCCAGATGCTGTATGACCCCTACAGATTAAGCATCTCTCCTCCATAAATGCAACAAAAATTATCTGGATTCTAAGTGACTTTGATGCTATTCACTGACCTCAACACAACCAGAGAACCTCAGAAACCAGCTGCATGATCCTTGTTGATTTACTAATTTAGTTGATTTTAATAATCAGAACCCAGAATGACTTTTGGATAATCACTTATTATGCAAGTTCAGTATTAGTGAAAATCTGCTCCCTTCAATACTAAATCCTGCATAACCTTGACTTTTGAGTCGACTGTTTATGGACTGTCTAAGCATGAAAGGGCACAATTGCATTCAAGAACCCCAATGGAAATACGTCATTTTGTCTAACATTTTTGGGTTTCCCAGGTAATCTACACACATACTGCTCTGTATGACTTTTTTATGTAACTATGTGTACCAGTACCTGAATAAACTTACAACTGTTGACATAGTGAGTTCATCCCTGATCGTTAGTTAAATATCTTTATTATGCACCCCGTACCCATCCTGTGGGCAGTAGTAACCACATACCCATCCTGTGGGCGGTAATCACCACATACCCATCCTGTGGGTGGTAGTCAAAAGATTACAAAGGTACATAATGGGTCCAGGGACTGGACCACAAAGTTATGATAGCTGAACTAGTTACAAAGGTAATGAACTCCAGGTAGATCTGGTCACAATCATGGCAAGTTACACAGGTAATGAATCAGCTTCACTCCTATACATGGTTACAGTCATGGACAAATTACAAACTAATGAACCACTGATACGTCCACACCTGGTCACAATTGTAATGATCGTACACTAAGAAAGACAAAACCCAGAACCATTAACTAAAGGTCGATCAACTGCTCCTGGGGAGGATGGTATACCTGGAGTTTACCTGGAGAGAGTTCTGGGGGTCAACGCCCCCACGGCCCGGTCTGTGATCAGGCCTCCTGGTGGATCAGAGCCTGATCAACCAGGCTGTTACTGCTGGCTGCACGCAAACCCACGTATGAGCCACAGCCCGGCTGGTCAGGTACCGACTTTAGGTGCTTGTCCAGTGCCAGCTTGAAGACTGCCAGGGGTCTATTGGTAATCCCCCTTATGTATGCTGGGAGGCAGTTGAACAGTCTCGGGCCCCTGACACTTATTGTATGGTCTCTTAACGTGCTAGTGACACCCCTGCTTTTCATTGAGGGGATGTTGCATCGTCTGCCAAGTCTTTTACTTTCGTTGTGAGTGATTTTCGTGTGCAAGTTCGGTACTAGTCCCTCTAGGATTTTCCAGGTGTATATAATCATGTATCTCTCCCGCCTGCATTCCAGGGAATACAGGTTCAGGAACCTCAAACACTCCCAGTAATTGAGGTGTTTTATCTCCGTTATGCGCGCCGTGAAGGTTCTCTGTACATTTTCTAGGTCAGCAATTTCACCTGCCTTGAAAGGTGCTGTTTAGTGTGCAGCAATATTCCAGCCTAGATAGAACAAGTGACCTGAAGAGTGTCATCATGGGCTTGGCCTCCCTAGTTTTGAAGGTTCTCATTATCCATCCTGTCATTTTTCTAGCAGATGCGATTGATACAATGTTATGGTCCTTGAAGGTGAGATCCTCCGACATGATCACTCCCAGGTCTTTGACGTTGGTTTTTCGTTCTATTTTGTGGCCAGAATTAGTTTTGTACTCTGATGAAGTTTTAATTTCCTCGTGTTTACCATATCTGAGCAATTGAAATTTCTCATCGTTGAACTTCATATTGTTTTCTGCAGCCCACTGAAAGATTTGGTTGATGTCCGCCTGGAGCCTTGCAGTGTCTGCAAAGGAAGGCAGTGTCTGCAATGGAAGACACTGTCATGCAGATTCGGGTGTCATCTGCAAAGGAAGACACGGTGCTGTGGCTGTCATCCATGTCTGTGTCAGATATGAGGATGATATTCTCAAAACTTTAAGGCACGTGCCTGACAACCCTTTGTTGGCACTGTATAATCTCAGTTACATTAAGGGCGTTCTTCCTACTTCCTGGACCAATAGTCTCATTGTGCCTATCCCTAAGCCCCAACAGCCTGATACATTTAGGCCGATCTCCTTAACTAGTTGTCTTTGTAAAACTTTTGAAAGAATGATGCTTAACAGACTGTACTACAGAATCAGACACCAACTTTTCCCCTACCTCTATGGGTTCATGAAAGGTAAAAGTGTGCAGAACTGTATTTCCACCTTTCTCACTGCACACACCTCTACTAGTTTTACCACTTTTCTTGGTCTAAAATCTGCATTTGATATTGCGAACAGAACCGTTATACTACATGAACTAGCCAAAATGAATATTGGTGGTAGCTTACAAGTACTGACTGATGTTGTA